AAAACATATGTTTAACTAATTTCTCAAATGTAAACAAATAATAGAAAAACAAAAAAGTCAATTATTTATGGGGTATCCATCCATGACAAAACATCAGCACATGTACAGCACATTAAAATAAAACAAACATACACACAAAAACAAACAAACAAAACACCATGTACTTTTTCACTGCTCGTATTTTCTATTTATTTATGAAACACATATATATCAGCAATATTGTTTGGAATTCTGATGGACGTTGATCAAAATCTTTACTTCAACTTTTAGTGTTATCTCCCCTATATTGATCCAGCAGCGCTTAGCAGCACAATAAACTTCCTGGTGTCTTTTGATATTGTTTTTTTCCGTCTTGACGTTTGTTTTTTATTAGAACAAATAGACATGTAAGCTTGTGCCAGGTAATGTATTCATCAAGATATATAAAGTCTAATAGCTTCTCTATGGATAATAAATAAACTTGTCATTCAAGTGAACAATGTTAAAGCGAGAACGTGACAATACAGAAATCAAAACAAGGAATTTCATTCATCAGCACGTTTATTTCCACAGTTGTTTTACAGCTTTTAAAGCATTAACAACATATGGGAACAATGAACCTCTAGAAAGCAATATACCCTATTTGTTCAATAATACATGCAAAGTGCGTAAAGCTTAAATACCTGACAAAAGGGAAATAGAGAGACTATACAAAGGTGAAATCAAAACATCTTATCACTCTTTAGTCCAGGAAAAACAGTTACTTAGACAACTTCTGGGTGAGGTCAAATGTTGCAAAAACAAAGGTCTTCAGCAACGAGCCGAGAGAGGAAAAAGTTTGTAAAGTGAACATTTCAAAATTGTGATAGTTTAAGCAGCAGATTTTAATATACTTATTCAAACCATTAAAAATCCTTTGTTCGATGTGTTTACGATGGTTTAAACATGTCTTTATGAAAAGTTTTATGCACAATACATTATTAAAACAGCACCCCAGAGAGCTTCGACTGATCTGACAAAGTTGGGTAACTTTAGAACTTATAAGCTTTTGAGAGGCTCTCTTAGCGCCATCGGCTACCCTTGAAGGTCAAACCTTTTGTGGAGGACTACACTTTCAGAGCACCATTTACATACATTTTATGTAGATATGAAAGCACTGTTATGGACTTGAATTTCATCAAAATATACATTTTGGTACCTTTGTTTCATTTCTACTAGTAAGAAATATAGATATTTATGTACGGTTATTAATTTTATTCCATTTTTAATAAAAGTATCGCTTCAAGACGCTGCTTGATAGTACAACTGCCTCATTAAACAATAATTTCCCATAAATTTAAATAATGGATCCCTGATTTTCTAAAGCTATGTTATGAATTAATAAAGTGCAACAAAAAACAAACACCAACACATATATAAACAAACTATGTGATAACAACTGCCATATTCCTGACTTGGTACAAGACATTTTAAGAAAATGGTGGGTTAAACCTGGTTAAATAGCTTGCCAAACCTCCTGCATTATGACATGGTTAAAAAATTTCGCTAAAACGTTAACACTACATGACAGAAAGTAATGAAATTGTTGAGACTTGCATGACCAAGAGCTTAAATTGTATGCATTGCTTTTAGCTACACAAAAACATGATAAACTAATACGTTTTGGATCTGACATGTTTATACCAGTCAACCAAAACCTTGTCTCTCAACAGTACACAACTTTTTAGGCTATTCCTTATTCCCCATCCAATGCTACAGTTTCTTTTATTATTTATTCAACGGTGTCAAAACTAAATGAGTTATTCTCTAATTTCATCAATATAAATGTAAGAAAGCCTTCATAATTTCACACCAAATCCGACCAAATACATAAAGTGGTCGTACCTAAAAATGAGTAACAAAATTCAGCTTATGGTTTACGTAATTTTCATCCAATGCATCGAAAAATTGTCACTCAAACGATCGCTTTGTTCCCTTTTAAATTGTCTACATACTTAATTCGCAGTGGTTCAGTCGATTTTGTCCTGAATTAGATTAAATCATGAACCGTATATATTTCAACAGACAGTCGGTATCACTAGGGTACTAATTGTGCACCCCTACTGGCCGATTTGTTTTTGTATTCGTATGAAGCAGAATTTATTCAAAACCTTCTAAAAGATAAAAAGAAAAAGCACCTTGCGAAATTCTTTAATTTTACTTTCAGATATATTGATGATCTATCACTGAATAACCTATATTTCAACCAATAATTGCATCTCATATATCCCAGTGAACTTGAAATTAAGTATACTACTGATACTAGAAAGACTGCTTCATACATTGATCTTTTCCTCAATATTGACACAGATGGACGTCTTCACACTTAAATCTATGACAAACGGGACGATTTCAACTTCCCAATTATCAATTTCCCATTTCTCAGCAGTGACATACCCTCGGCCCCATCGTATGGTGTTTACATAGCTCAGCTGATACGTTATGCTCGAGCATGGACACCATCACGAATTGGTTGATCCATACGATGTGTTTTTGTCTAAACTAACTAAGGACATTTTTACCATGTCTTAGATTATGGTTCACCATTTACGTCGTCTGGTCTTTTAAGTACCGAACATTACCTATTCCCGAATATGACTGTTTTGCTGAATGTGAATTCGCATTGCTATAAGACGTGTCACGGTATTTGTTATCCAACATTCCTGTATTTGGTAATGATGTTGTATTTGTAATTCTGATCGGATATTGTTAAATGTCTTATCGTTTGTAGTTGTAATTCTAATTCTTTTATTATTTCTATTCGTATGTGAAAGTATAGATAATTAATCACTAAGATCATTTGTAAGATTTTAGTTTAAAGCAACTAAACGTACACGATTTATTTGTTTTACAGTTTGATTCAGAAGATATACCGACATAGCCAGATAATGCAATTAATTATCTAATTACTAACACAATTCTATACAAATAGTCTTGTAATTGTTATAAAATACACCAAATACGATAATTTCAAACCTAATCGTGAACTACATTTTATATATCAAAATGTTTAGAAATTTACCTGTGAAGTCATTTTGTAGCGTCAATCCAGTCGTGTGATAGACAGTGCGTGGTTCTGTTGTGCTGTTTTTATGTGCTGCCCTAGGTTGTTTTACGTTTTCGTTTTTATTCTGTGGTTAGTCAGCGCTTCGTTGTTGACATTAATATCAATTATACGGTCATTTTAAAAAAAATGTTTTATACATTTACTGTTTGCAAAAGTATGAATTATTCTATATACTAAGGATTTTCTTATCCCAGGCATAGATATCCTTAGCCATATTTGGCACAACTTTTTGGATCTTTGGGTCATCAATGCTCTTTAACTTTATACTTGTTTGGCTTTCTGACTATTTTGATCTGAGCGTCACTGATGAGTCTAATGCAGGTGAAACGCGCGTCTGGCGTATTAAATTATAATCCTGGTACCTTTGATAACTATTAGCATGTCTAAATGTATTATTGTATTGTTTATTTGTGTATTTCTCTGTCCTTAATGTTCTTGCATATATTTGTACTGTAGTCCTGTCATGTAATGTTGTCCTTTCAGTGTTATATTTAACATTGCCATAAAAGCGCGAGGTTTGGCTAGCCACAAAACCAGGTTCAACCAAACATTTTATTTCTTCAAATGTCCTGTACCAAGTGAGGAAAATGGCAGTTGTTATCTTATAGTTTGTTTCTGTGTGTGTTACATTGTCGTTTGGTTTTTTGTTGAACTTTAGTGTTTCTGGTGTTTCGTTGTTTTCCTCTTATAGTTAATGTGTTTCCCTCGGTTTTAGTTTGTAACCCGGATTTGTTTTCTCTCAATCGCTTTATGACTTTCGAACAGCGGTATACTACTGTTGCCTTTATTTAGTACTCGGATGCTTTAAATTTGTTCAAACATAATTATGAAATTCAATAAAAAGTCGGCCAAACAATTATTATTTCGTCAAACGGGAAATTACTCAAAATGCTCTTATTAACCTAAAAGATGAATGACAGAACCAATCCTTAATTATGGCATGGCGCCTCTATTTTCTTTCCACAAAAAGGTCAAGGCATCGTGAAAAATGGATAGTGCGCTTTAGCATGCCAAAAACCCCTGTAAGAAACACTGATTTTTCTTCCATATATCACTTCAGCCATTTGTTGTTTTTCACCAAATACCTGTTATGTCTGAGTTATTTATGTCCCAGGTACATTGCGGAAGTTTCTCTTTTTATCCAAGTAAACGAATAAATAAATTCAAGGTTTATACATAAGTAAAAGTATAAATAGATGCATTATGATTGCAAATGAGACAACTATCCACAAAAGCTCAAATGAAGTGGATGTAATCTATTATATGCAATTGTATCTTTATTATACGATGGGTATGAATAACACGAGGCAATTGTTTTCTGTGAAAGAGGACTATGTCCGTATAAATATTTATTCGGATACTGATTATTGTAAAATTAAAACCACAGTTAAATTCATCAATAATTTTCTCATTTTTCTATAAGTAATTATAACATTAAAATATACAAAAAATCACTATCATTTTAACAATCCCTTACTTTTGAGATACCTTATATCATTGGCCTCCTGACATAGGGCTGAACAATAAATACTTCTAAACAAACAAAAAATGTGTGTTGAAAAATTAACCGAAATACAGATACTTATCCGATGGTTATCCTGTTGTTAGAAATTTTATTACTACAATATTTTCAGTGTCAATAAGGAAAGGCGTTCTTTAGGAAACGTGGAAAAAAAATGTTAATGATGTTCAATTCATTAGTATATATTGATTTTTCTACACATTTGCTGTTTGGGTGAAAAAAATGTGCACTGCCTACGGAAATACACTATAAAACAGCCTTTTGATTTCATTGCAAATTGGAGAAACTTTAAATCTGATCATGATGACCATTGTATGTAGTGTGTGGATATTGCATTTTTATGCCCTGCCGTGTGACATGACTTTTGTTATTCTTAGTGTTATTTTGTTTCAGGTGAATACTAAATCTAACCAGACTCAAGATGGCAGGGATTGGAAATAGACTGATGGAATCAAAGGTACATCCTAGTGACAGAAACTTGCTGGCTTTTGGAAGGCAAGATTTCAGCATTCAGTCTCAGTTTGACACAGGAGGCGGAACAAATTCAAGGATGATGATTAAAAGAGATGATTTGGATGAAAAAAAAGCTAAAACACAGGAAAGACTAACATTAGAGGATGTTAGATTTTCAGACATGAGGAAGAAAGTTCCTTTACTGGGAAGGGTCCCACAAAGTAAAATGATGGCTTCTGATCTGGACGATAGTTTTGAGCAGGTATATAACATATATGAATATACGTGGATCGTAGTTCTATGTCAATAATACAATTGTGACCAAAACAAGAGAGAAAAAAAAACCACCACTGGGTCAGTAAAGGAAAGTAAATTGCCACAGGTGGGGGGAGGGGGATAGTCGATCGCCAACAAACATGTTTAATCCCGCCACTTGCCCCATGCCAAAACCAGGCAGTCGTTTGTTGCTGCTGAAGATCATTGTGATTTTATTGGTGCTTTGTATATAAATAAGGCCACTAGTATTGTTTTCCATTCGTCATGTCATTTTTATAGCTTTACTATACAGCTTAAATAAACTGTTTGGTTTTTTTTTCAGCAAAAGGCGGAACACATTACTTTTATCAAACAAAACTTCAAGCAGTTAGAATGTCAGCAATTTGTTCCTGCACCAAATCAACAAAAAATAGAGAAAACAGAAGCCTTAAAGTAAGTGTTGTAATGAAAGTGCATAACATTATCATTAATTTTTATTAATTTAGTATTCCCCAATATCTAAAGATATGCCTAATGCTCAGATGCATCACTGTGTGGCAAATGAATTGACACATATCCCAAAAAGCTGTTGACTTTAGGTTCTAGTGGAATACACGTTGACGAGCTTCCTTACAAGATTTCTTCTTATATATAAAAGGAGAAGAGGGTAGAAATCAACGAGACGGGAACTAAATGAATAAAAAACTGATGTAATTTTTTCATGGTTTATTTATATTCACTTATTTTTATTAGGTATATTTCTATGACAATACATACACATGCATACAAATGCATCTACAACTATCAAAACATCTCACTCAAATATGCAACTGTAAATACTTGTACCGTTGTATATTTTGGTGAGATCTTTTTTTTTATAGTGATTAAGATTAAAACAAAATGTTGAATGCTGTACCCCTATATTTGTCATTTTCACCTATTCTTCTGTTTGTTTTGTTCACACATCGTTGTCAAAATAAAGAAATTGTATGCGACTGTCATGCAAGTGAGAGGTTTAGCTAGCTATAAAACCAGGTTTAATCCACCATTTTCTAATTAAGAAAATGCCTGTACCAAGTCAGAAATATGGCGGTTGTTATCCATTCGTTTAGTGTGTTTGAGCTTTTGATTTTGCCGCTTGATAACGGACTTTCCCTTTTGAATTCTCCTCGGAGATCAGAATTTTTGTGATTTTACTTTTTGTTTACCTCAATTAAAATGTAAAAAAAAAACGTAAATAATCAATTAAGAAAAATACTTAAGGAAAAAAGAACAATAGATAATAAATGATAATTGCAGCTAAATATGACAGCTATAATATGAATGATACATTTATGTATCATCACATTATCTTTTTATCATCCTGAATATGCATGTTACATTTGACACCGTTCTTTGAACAGAGACCATTCATTATCATGATCATCTGTCAAAAGAAAGGTGTTATTTTTGGTAAAAAAAGTATTTGATAAAATGAAGTCGACAGTATAGCTGATTGCAGATATACAAAAAATATGTCAAAACAACAATTGTAGTCAACAGTCTGAATGTAAATACCAAAAAAATAAGTCAAAATAAAAAACTGTTTGATAGACCTCACCCATTTCTGCCTTTTACAAACTCATTGTTTGGCAAACTTAACTAATTTTTTTTAAATCTGATTTGAATTTTTTTATTTTAGATGTCACTGTGGAGAGGTTTTCAAAAATCATATTCCACATGAATTTCATGTATCAACTCAACCTGGAAAACGACAAGTAACGACATATAGATATGATAACCTAATTTCACCTGGTATGTTAAAGGATTTTTAACATTTCGTTTTAACTACAATATAGTAACCCACAGATTTATTCTTTATTACAGGCACTTTAAATATATGATGAATCAACAATTTAAAAGTAATATTTATACCATCTAACAATTGTACATGTATATGTAGTATGTTAATTAATACAAAAACATTGTTAGAACTAACATAGTTGAAATAAAGTTTAAAAATTTATTCTGGTGGGGAATGTGAGTCAAACAAATTAATTGATCATGTTGAATGCGGGTTGATGCAATTTCCTTAGAAAATCCATTTGTAAAAATTGTATGTTAAATCAACAGTTCTACCCATTATTCACCTGCATCTAATTCTGGGTCAGCTCTAAATGAAAGAGACACAACATCACATGACTTGGAACATTAAGGATTATAAACTTCAATCTATACCAAATATGAATAACGTTTCATGATTCCTTTTAACTTATTGAGTGAAGCACAGAGACAATTGAAATGTTTAGACAAACAAATGAAGTGATATTCTATAAATTTCGAAATTCATGAGTTTCAAAATATGTTAATGCACCGATAAAATTAACAAATTCTTATAGTCATATAAAATTACCAACGTATGTTATTTTTAGGCCTTTTATAGAATGTAACGAGCTTTGGGTTTTGCTCATTGTTTAAGGCCATACGGTGACATATAGCTGTTAATTTAATAGTCATTCGGTCTTTGGTGGGGAGTTGTCTCATTTGCAATCATAATATATCTTGTTATCTTTAAATATTAAAGTCGATTAGCTGTTAACTTTGTTCGCAAATAATACAAACATGAATTTTTTTACTACTAGTATATTATGAATGATTAGTTGATTTTAATGTGTTTTAAAGATTTAAAGCCTTTTATTGATCCCAACAATCTTGGATCTAAACCTTCTGAAAAGTTCCCTCCTGTGGAATGGAAAGCTGATCAGGCTATGAAAGTAAAAAATACGACGTCTTTTGGTAAAATAAAATTTACAGGCATGGAACAAGTTGGTGGCATGAAACCTGCAAAGGTATGTTAACGTAGGATTTGATTGATTTGATTTGTGGTGTTTTAACGCCAGTTTTAAGCACCGCTTTTGGGCTATTTCGTGGCGGCCAGTTTTTATTGGTGGAGGAAGCCGGAGTGCCCGGAGAAAACCACCGACCTTTAATAGGAAAACTGACAATCCTAGTCAACTAAGATTTGAGTCGAGTGCACCCGCACGAGCGGGGTTCGAACTCACAACCTCAGTGTTGACTGGCTAGTGATTACAGTAGTAACTACTTAGACCACTCGGCCACCGAGGCCCCCTGTTAACGTAGGAAAAATCAATTATAAAAATGAGAATCATGAAACCTACAAAGGTAAGTTGATTTAGGAAAATTCAATCATAAATCAGAATGAACAAACTCATCACAGCCACAAAGATTAAAATGTTGTACGCCAGGCGCGTTACGTCTACAAAAGACTCTTCAGTGATGCTCGAAAAAATTAAAAAAAAGGCAAAATACTGTACGAAGTTGAAGATGATTGAAGACCGATAATTCCAAATGGTTTTGCCAAATATAGATAGGGTAATCTATTCCTGGGATAGAAAATCTGTAGTATTTTTTCACGTTTGTTAACAGTCGATTTATAATTATGATAAATTGATATTTATAATATCTATGCCCGCGACCATAGTATGACTATGAAGGAAGATATGGTGTCAATGGTAATGGGATAGCTAAAAAACACAAATAATATTAGTATTTTTGTAAACTCACATATTGAAAAATTTGAAAATAATAAATACATGGTACAAAAAACAGAGGAATTGATAGGTTCATATTAATAAATTATGTACCTGTTATATTGTAAACATGGTAAAGGCAGAACTTATTGCTTGCGTTTATTGCTAATTTTGAAAAATGAAAAACAAAAGAGATTAATAATTTCTTTTTCATGGCGAGTAGGCGGCTGCGAACAGTTTCCATGTCATCACATATGAACAGTTTAAAACTGATCGTCACTGATGAGTCTTATGTAGACAAAATGCGCGTCTGGCGTATTAAATTAAGATTTGTTTTCTTTCATTCGATTTATGACTTTTGAACAGCAGTATACTACTGTTGCCTTTATTTATTAACCAATGCTTTTCAATATTGAATTTTTTCACCTGTACTCTAGAGGAGTTATGTCCTTTAAAAAAAATGTGCACTTTATGTTGGTTTTATGCAATTACTTTTAAAGGGTTTCAACAATACTTTTTAAATTTTAATTTGTTGTTGCTGATGACAAAATAAAGAACAACTTAAGTTTTGACAATTTTTACTTTCACTGATCAAGAGTTATAATCCTTGTTAGATTTATTAAAATGCACTTTACATCGTTTCAATGCAATAACTTTAAACCAAAGCTTGTAAAATTTGAATAAGGTGTTTCTGATGACAAAATGGGAGTCAAATTGCTGATTAGCCAAAAAGGCACAAAAACATGAAAAAGTGGCGGGGAAAAAAGCATACAAGCGCGTTTAAATTAACGAAAACCTGGTTTGCTGTCAATTTGACAAATTTCTATTTACAATCTATGTAAGTAGGTGTGGAATCATGATTGTTTTTTTTTTAATGTTATGAAATACATGTATATATTTGAATAAAAACTTCATAAACTTAAAACTGATAAAAGTAAGGCCAATTTGAATTTCATTTTCATCCTTAAATTATGTTTTACCAATTTCTTTGTCATTGATTACCTTTTGACCGATGGTCAATGCAATGGTTTTCTGTCATGTGACCTCATTTCTTAATTACATGTAACCCATTGCAAGTCTGTGTTCGTTTCAGTACTTACGTTTAACAGATGAAGAAAAACCAGATTCTGTTGGCCTGGCTATTAAGCTGATGAAAGTCCACTGGAGGATAATGGAGCCAAATACGCCTAGTCTGATCATATCTGTTGTTGGTGGTGCTAAAAACTTCAAGCTTAATGGTAAAATGAGGGAAACTTTCCAGTCTGGTCTGATTAAAGTAAGTATAGTGATCTGTTATAAAATGAGGGAAACTTTCCAGTCTGGTCTGATTGAAGTAGGTATAAAGCTGACTGTACGGTATGGGCTTTGCTCATTGTTAAAGGCCGAACGGTGACCTATAGTTGTTAATTTCTGTGTCATTTGGTCTCTTGTCGAGAGTTGTCTCATTGGCAATCATACTACATCTTCTTTTTTATATTGTGGTCTGCTGTAAAATGAGGAATCATTTCTAGTCTTGTCTAAAGAAAGTATAGTGGTCTGCGGTAAAATGAGGGAAACTTTCCAGTCTGGTCTAATTAAAGTAAGTATAGTGGTCTGCGGTAAAATGAGGGAACTTTCCAGTCTGGTCTAAATAAAGTAAGTATAGTGATTTGCTGTAAATTGAGGGAAAGTTTCCAGTCTGGTCTAATTAAAGTAAGTATAGTGATCTGTTGTAAAATGAGGGAAACTCTTCAGTCTGGTCTAATCAAAGTAAGTAAATGAGTCTGTTGTTAAAAGAGGGAATCTTTCCAGTCTGGTCTTCTTTAAGGCAGTAAAGTTGTTCACGGTAAAATAAGAGAATCTTTCCAATCTTATTTAAGGCAGTACAGTGGTCTGTTGTAAAATGATGGAAACTTTCCTGTCCTGTCCTATGAAAGTAAGTACAGTGGTCTTTTGTAAACGAGGGTAACTTTCTAGTCAGGTCTTTTTATAAAATTGAGAATGCAAATGGGGAAAGTGTCAAAGAGACAACAACTCGACCAAAGATAGGAAAACAGCCGAAGGCCACCAATGCGTCCTCAATACAGCGAGAAAATCCGGTAACCGGAGGCATGCGTCAGCTTGCCCCTAAACAAAAATGTGTACTAGTTTAGTGATAATGGACGCTATACTAAACTCCGAAATATATAAAAGAAACTAAAATTAAAAATCATACAAGACTAACAAAGGCCAGAGGCTTCCGACTTGGGACAGGCGCAAAAAATGTGGCGGGGTTAAACATGTTTTTGAGATCTCAACCATCCCCCTATACCTCTAGCCAATGTGGAAAAACCAAACAAACAGTAAATAAAATGGTCTGTTGTAAAATAAGGAAATTCTTCCACTTTGATCTCTCAGTGGTCTGGTATAATGATGACGGAAACATTCTATTCCGATCTGATTACAATAACCTTGATTGGTCTGTTGTACAATGAGGGAAACATTGCAGTTCGATCTTTGAGAGGTTTGTTATAAATGAAGAAAACATTCCATTCTGATATCCTATTACGGTACATTTGAAAGGTTTGTCGTAAAATGGGGGGAACATTCCAGTTTGATCTTTGGGTGGTCTGTTATAAATGAGGGACACATTCCAGTTTAATCTGATAAAAAACTGTTAAAATATTTTTTTCGTGGATATCAATTTTCTAATTTTGATCAATAGTTAAATGTTCGTGGGTTCTTTTAAAAATCGTTAATTTTAGTTTCTGAAACAAATTGAGTGAAGAGTTTGAAGCCATTAGAATCGAAGATTCTTGAAAATAAAAATATTCATTCTTATAATGATTTGAGGGACATTGCAAAATTAGGGAGTCATTTCACTTCTTGTATGCCTTTCATTACTTACAACGTTAACGTTTGTAAAAAATTTAATAAAATAATTGATATCGGAGGAAGGCTTAATCGTCTATTCTTCTTACTGTCTCGATTGAAGTAAGGAGTAGGTTCGATAACACCCTAAAAAGGCCCCTAATTCTAGCTACAATTTTAAATTAGGTTTAATTGACCAATATCACAATGAATCATAGCTAATACAATGACTAGAAAGAAAATATGTCTTTTTGTTAAAAATTTACGTACTTGCGTTCTATTCATGATGTCACAAATAGCACTCATTTTGATTTTCAACAAAAATTCAATGAAAACGGGTCTATTTCCAATGATTTTTTTGGACAGGAAACATAGAGCGCATGCGTCGACAAAAAAAGCTTTTTTAATAAAATGTTTGTTATCACATTTTACATATCTGACTTGAATATTTAGTTTGTCGACGCCTGCTCTATTATGTTTCCTAGGCCTCAATTTGGTTGAAATTTGGACGATTTTGTTAAATTTCGCAAAAATCTCTATTTTGACCTATTCGGGATGTAAAAATCAACGCTTTAAAACTAAAACTTTGACATAAAAAGTTCTATTCAACTTTCTCACATGTCTTTTTATCACTTTAAAACATTTATTATCTTTAAACATTAAACATAATAATCGGGGCCAAATATGACCCTTACCGAACTTACTACTTTGTAATGTAAACATTATAAATGTAGAACATGTGAAATCAGAAGTGATGACACTTATCAACCCCAATATCAAATGATAAACAGATTAACGATCATGAAAGGTTTTTAGAGGGCCGTAAACATGTTACTTGAAATAGGTTGCACAAAAAATGCCACATATGTATTTTTTATATGATTTGTTGAAATACTTCTCATGTCCAATATGAAATTATTACTTTTTTTATCGTATGTCATCACCGATAGCCTACCTTTTATCGATCAAAACTAATTTTTCATGAGAATTAGAAGGGTAAAAGTCGTACAGTTATCTCTTTTAAAGATCAAAAAGATAAAAGTTTTATGTATAGTTCTTAGTGCTTTCGATGATATTTAAAATATTTTTTAGAATATATGCCCGAATCAATTTAGTCAAACCTACATGGGGATCTTTCCATGTTTAGATTTGGACAACAGTTGTTATATTTCTTTTGACACTTAAATTGTGGATAAACTCTTTTACGAAAAACAACAAAAATTGGTACCGCTTAAATAAAAGTACTTTAAATTTATAGTAACTTTAAATGGTATTTTGTAGGAGAAGGGAAACATTCATGCGTAATCTTTGGAATAGTCTGTTGTAAAATGACGGAAGCATTCAAATTTTATTGAAGAATTCAGTCAATATTTTGGTAATGTCTTAGGTCAGGTAATAGACCCTTGACACAACTCTAGTGTAAGCTTGCTGCTATATCACAAATTATGTCTCATAAATAAAATTGAGAATTAAAAAATGGGAATTAAAGGGCAGAAAACAGCCCAGGCCATCAATGGGTCTTTAACCAGGAGTGAAAATCTCGCATTCGGAGGCGGGCTCCAGTTGGCCCACAAACAAAAATGTGTCCTAGTACAGTAAAAAGGACGTCACTAAACTTCAAAACATTTAAATGGAATATTTCAACAAGAGTAACACAACTGTCAATACTCGTTGTTTATTGTTATCTGTTTTATATTTATATAGCAAAACTATTTTCAATAATTTGAAAGTAAAAATGTTCAACAAATGACTAAATTAACATATCAATTCAAGAATGCAATGAGTTAATATCTAATATTGTTGCATTACCTTTTTGGTTTTTGACGTAGATATAGAAGAATATTCAAAATACTACTGTGGATTCATTATTATTCGTGGGATACCAATTTTCGTGGATTTTGTTGGTTCAGGTAAACCACGAAATTAAATGTTCAACGATTGACAAATTATATATATTATGCTTGTATGCAAACTTCAGCAAAACCACGAATAAGATATCCACGAATATGCAAGTTTTCCTCACGAAAATTGATACCCACGAAAATTAATGAATCCACAGTATTATATATCTTAAATCTGTAATCACTTAAATGTAACTTCACGAACAGCAGCTTGACAATACTGATTGTTGTTGAGTGTTAGGGGATGATAAATGCAGGATTTATTTCCTATGCGAGATATCTTTTTTGTTTGACTGTTATAAAGACACACGGTTTGTGATACTTACCAATGCAATAAATGCTTTATATATTTAACAGGCTTCCCAGACAACAAATGCCTGGCTAATAACATCAGGATTCAATATGGGAGTAATGAAGGAAGTAGGATTAGCAGTGAGAGAAGGCCAGTCATTCGAATGGTATAAAGACAGATTTGCCCATGGTCTACGTTGTATTGGAATAGCTCCATGGGGATATGTTAAAGATAGAAAAGTCCTGACAGACCACACTATCAATGTAGAGGTAAAATTTGTACTGTGGATTCATTACTTCTCGTAGGATACCAATTTTCGTGGATTTTGTTGGTTCATATGGTAGTCAGTTTAGGCCATTTCGCGTTTTCGTGTTTTCGCCCTTGATATTCTATAGATCGAGCAAAAAGGTGAAAACGCGAAATCGCGAAGTCAAAAACGCGGAAACGCAAAGTAAAAACGCGAAAACGCGAAGTCGAAAACACGGAAACGCGAAATATTTTTTTTTCTTTCTAATTTCACATTTTCGACTTCGCGTTTTCGCGTTTGAGCAATTTCGCGATTTCGCATTTTCGTGTTTTTGCGTTTGTGCGTTTTTGTCTCGGGAGTAATCTTCTTGTAGTCGATTTCGGTTGCATTGTTCTGCAAACAATGTTTCATCATTATATATATTTTTGAGTTTCAAATTAAAGCTAGTGATGAAATAGTAAATGTAAATTGACCACAAGAAGAAATAAAATAGAATCATATACGGTCTTTGAGAATTGATTTTAGCACACAAAAAAATTAAGTGTTTTAGAACTATTTCAAATTTTCAAAAATGTTTGGAAAAACAGAAATTAAAGAAATTTATATACATTATATAAGATTTCTAATGTTACGACGTCCAAATTAGGTCATAAAATGCACCAAGTGAATAAAAAAAAAAAGAAAAATGCTAAGTTGATGCATTTTCCGTCATTATTTCCTTTGTTGCCATGGTAACTCGTTAAAATGATAAGTTTGTTTTTCTTTTCTGAACACTGTGTATTTTTTTGGCCAAATGAGGGCCTTATTACCCTTCATCTTTTAAAAGGAATTCCGCGGACATTATTTGGCTAAGCCCCTCAGTTATGGATAATTGACTTCAAAAAGAGGGGCGAAAGATACCAAAGAGACATTCAAAAACAAAGTAACAACGCCATAGCCTAGAACGAGAAAAACAAACAGACAAACAATTGTATACAAAAATAACATAGAAAAATAAAGACTGAGCATTACGAACCCCACCAATAACTTGGAGTGATCTCATGTGCTCCTGAATGGCAAGCAGATCCTGCTCCACAAAGACATTCGTCGTGTTGCTCATGTTAGTACAATCCTGGTAATAAATCTATTTAGGTAGGCCGCATTCGTGAAAAGGGAACGGGATTGTATTTACGACATTTGGAACATATCCGCTATTATATGTTAAACGGCTATTCCATAACGGTCAACCAACTCGTAATGGCGTCCGTAAAATTTGCGAACAGATGATTTCAACTTCACCATTTGGAAGTCTTGGTTTAAAATTAATTAAAAGCTTCCTTGTGAGCAGCAACATTCTATCAAGGAAATCATGATAGGAAATACAAACCTGGAATATCGTATCAGTTGGGAGATATATAATCCGTATGCAGGCGCTGCTGCAATTTTGCTACATAGAAATGGAAAGTTCACAATTGGAAAGCTGAAATCAACTCTTTTGTTGTAATGTTTTGTTTTCAACCGACCCTCGTTTCCAATTTGTAGATGTAAGCCAAGATATGAGACAGACTTAACTGTATCTGTTGTATCAATTATCGCTAGTTCGATGGGATAGATACGATCAACATTGTCACCAAACTTTGAATTATTTAGTGAGAGAACATCATCTATATAGCGGCGAGTAAAGTTAAAGCATACTTCTAACTTTCTTTCTTTCTTCTTAAAAAGTTCTTTTATGAAGTCAGCTTCATAAGAATAAAGGAACAACTCGACAAGAAGAGGGGCACAGTTGGTTCCAATGGGATTGCCGATAGTTTGTTGACAAATACATCCTCCAAACGTAACAAATAACGTTCCTTATTTTACATGTATGCGTTTGTTATTAGGTTATTATATTGAGAGCCACTAATGGCAAGTCAATGACATTTGATATGCAATTGTATTCGCATTGACAAATCTCATTTTCGTGGATATTGTTTGGCCCTGTACCGTTTAACTTTATATTTTTGCCAAAATATACTACTGCATCATTTTGTCATTGTAACTCCTCTGACATCACACAACGGACTTTCATGAAATTTTGTAGATATTAAGGAAATGATATGTAGATTTGCATATCCAAAAGAATTTTTATAAGTTAATGTATGTAGGAGTTTAGGGTTTATGAACTTGGTGTCTGTGAGATTTTGTTTGTCCAGTGACAATGTGAAGCCGTGGGGTATGTAAGCGTGCTCACAATAGTTCTTTAATTTTTAAAAGAGTGATGCCCTTTGGAATTATCTATGAGGACATGCTACTGTGATGCCTCTAGTGCAGTGTTAAGGTTCATCATAACAAATTGACACATATGGCTGTATTTACACATCAAAAACTACTCTGAGTACAGACTAATATGTGCAGTTTGAAAAGCTGTAAGGCCTAGCATCCACTAAATATATAGAGTTAAAAAAACGGACAAACAGAAGGTTTTTTTTTTCCTTTCAAAGGGGAGTTCATCTAGGGGATTCATCATCTCCATATCTATTTAGGCCTCCTCCTATATATGTGTTATAACTTGTATGTTTCAGGGAAAGTTTGATAAAATGGCTGAATACTTAACCAGTAATGTGATAGAACATGCAAAACCAGTGCCGCTGAATTCAGATCATACACATTTCATTTTTGTTGATGATGGATACAGAAACTCGTATAAGGGTGTGGCTAAATTTAGAGCTAGATTTGAAAAGAAACTGTCTGATCCTATAGAAAAAGGTAAAAGTAAATGTCGAATGTTGTCAGTCTGGAATGTTAAGTTAAAAATATAATTAAAAAAACAGGGACATGTTATATTATTGCCAATGAGAAAACAATTAACCAAAACCTAAAGATGTAAATAAAATAGATCACTATCCAGGCTTTATTAATGAGCGTGACCCATACCGTACAGTCAGCTATAAAACCATGTAGAACTTGTGTATGTTGCGTACCAAATTATGTTTGACAACAAAACTGTTGATCAGATTTTTAAAAAAAATAGCCAGCCACTTAATACTATATTACACACTGCAATTATTTATAGATGACCCTATTCGTTTTAAATAGCCACTCACTAAACAATCAGTTAACAATAGATACGTGGTTTGTGATACTGTGGATTTACGATTATTTCTGGGATACTAAATTTTATGGCTAAAGCTGAACAATAAATTGATATGGTCATTGAAGTACAATTTTCTCAAAAACCACGAATTCAAATATCTACTTAATCCTTAATCCACAAAAATTGGTAACCACGAAAATAAATGAATCCACAGTATTTCTAGTTCTTAATGTAAATATCAAAATAGACAAAATGCTTAAATAATAAATATTTTTTCATCACTCAAACTGTTAATGTTACCTTTAGAAGTTGAATGAATCTTTTACTTACCAGGTAGAAAGTAAATATATGAAGACTGTTGATACTTGTGTGCCCCTTGTCCATATGTTTGTAGGTACATCAAGTCACTGGTTTCAGATTTTGAAGATGAGTTTATCTCGTCCAAATGTTATAAAGCTTGTTACTACAAAACACAGCTCAAGTTCAAATTTGGGTAGAGTCACTTTTATTGTTCTTGAGTGGTATCCCTTTAAAAACAGAATGAAATGCTGAATTTACCGTTACTGTACTCACTCTTTACTTTACTTTGCCTCAGCCAACAGTTATGAAAATTCTATAAAATTCTTAAAACCACCAAACACATACAAACTCCGAATTTGGGTGGCGTCAATTTTATTGCATTCGAGTAATGTCCCTTTAAAATTGAAAAATTTCTGAATTTGTTATTTCTGCATTAAGTTTATAAGCTTAAATTAGATTGAACTAGTACATTGATTCTTGTATATTTACAAGCGGGGTATCAATTTTTCATGGAGTCATTCTTCTATTATTCTTTTTATCAGGAGGAGAGGGAATACCAGTTGTATTGATTGTAGTAGAAGGAGGTCGAGATGCTATAGATGATGCTAAAACTTCTCTCGAACAAAATATTCCAGTTATCTTGTGTGAAGGTACTGGCAGAGCTGCGGACATACTGGTGTATGCTTACACAAATCCAGAGAGACGGTAAACGAATCTCTCATTAACATGTTTTATTTCTAAACGTGCATTCTTGCTGCTATAAAAAAAGTATAATAACAAAAATACCGAACCCCGAGGAAAAGGGAAAGTTCCCAATCAGAAAGCTCTTACACATCTAACGAATTGATAACAACTATCATATTTCTGACATGGTACAGACATTCTTTATATAGAAATGGTGGATTAAACCTGGTTTTATAGCTAGCTTAACCTCTCGCTTATATGACAGTCGCATAAAATTCCATAATATTGACAAAATGTGTGAACAAAACAAACAGACATAATAGGTAAATATGTCAAATATATGGGTACAGCATTGTAATATAAGAACCTGGTTCATTACCTTTCTGTTCATACTCCAGTGACGTTCTACAAAGTCTGAGTAGCAGCTTCAAACTATTGAATATGGAGTAGAGTCTATTTTTTTCTTAATTTCTAGTTTCTTGCAGATATATTAAAGGAACACGATCAGAAAAGTTTAGATTGTTAATGGAAAGAGCATCATCAATGTATCTCAAATGAAATTTAATGTTATGGCTTCTTTGATCTTATTGAACCTACTATTTTTTAACATCTCTCGACACCGACTAATGGCACCTACAGTTGACAGGTAAAATGGAGGGGTCGTCTCAGAGCCAAAAATCATCATGATTGCATATTCGATTTGGCATATACTGTCTTGACTATATAGCTACAGAAGAAATATCAAACAAATAAATAGATAAATATACTTCTCTGTCATATAATATTTTTATCACATGCATGTGATTACACGACATTTCATGTTGAATTGATTATAAATTTACAGCAATCATTCCGCATCTTGATTAGCTATTATTATGCGAGTCTTCCATCAAAGATTGTGCCGCATGCGAATTACGATTCATTTGATTTGTAAAAGTTGTTATGAAATTTTCGAAATTTATGAAACATAATTACTGGACTATCCGTCTGTCCGTTACACACGAGCTGGTGTTTTTCGACCGATCTAATTTTATCAACAAAGGGACTACTCCGCTCCAAGATACCTTGTTAATCTCGATGTATTTCTTTGATGAATTTGGAAAAGAAATGTAATTGACTTCTCGTTCCAATATGACAATATTTAAGCAGTACATACCTGCGTATGGAATTTATATTTCAACTAGTTAGTTACTATAGAGCTTGTTGTCATTGCAAAGTCTTTTTTGGCAGCGCCAAGCAGGGGTTTGGAGTCCAACGACTTGGGTTTTCTTCCTTTAAATAATATGGTTGTCCTGAGATTAAGAAGTGCATTCCTATATTTAGCAGGACTTTGGAAAATTTTATTAAGTGGCCAATTATTATTGCACGAAGAGACACACGGGGTTCATGGCGTAAACTTAGAGACGCCATCGAAGCAATTGACGGGACGTCAACAGAAATCCATCATCTGCAAATTGAGCCACCGAACCTAATTGTTTTGGTCATCGACATTATCATGCCAGACAAACGCAGGTGGTTGTAGACAATGCTGTGTATATTTGCTACGTAGAGAGTGAGTTTCTGGGTCATCAGAATGATGCCCAATAATTCACTTTAATGCAGCGAATAGCCTTTAGGGAGATATGGTTCGCTGTATTTCCCGGAAGACTGAGTGCGTTCTCCTTAGAGACATAATATATTCCCTTCGTCAACCTTAAGTAACAACTTGTACAACACCTCAGATTAACCATAAGCCAGAACATTTGAAGAAAAATTCGAAAATTTAAGCGCGTCGTCGGTGAATATAGAATTCAAGTTGAACACCAAATTGATGAATTAAAAAGATATAAAGTAATGAGTACATTATGGAGGTACCCAAGGCCAAAACTAATAGACATTGAAGAAACATGTTCCGCCCTTGTCAACAGACATAAAACATTGTTTAATTAAACATCACTTTCAACAATACATGTTTGTTTGTTTTGTTTTTTTCCCCAAATTGCACCAAGACAGCTAGAAGCTCAACGTCTAAACAGATGAAATGTGATTTAAAGCCCATCCTTTTCTACCTTTTTAATACTAAATTAAAAAATCCACGCCATTGGGACTCTGTTGGAAAGTTGTACCATTGCCAATTAAATAAATTTCAAGCAATAAAATCAATCGTGATCAATACTATTATTTTCAATTTCTATTTTTGAGACGACCCATCACATCTGTAGTCGTTCTCAACTATAGGTGTAGACAATTGTTGAAAAGGTCTAATAGTAACCATCTGTTATTATATTTGGATTTTGTATAATTTGTTATTCAATTTCTGTTACCTATTGATACTATAGCAACATTAAGGTCAAGCAGGAAAGAATAATTTCATCATCTTTGACAGAATATATGTTTAGGTTTTGAAACAAATCACTTATTTTGATTTAAAGAACAAGAATATATATAATAAATCAATTGGAACGCATGTTTCCTTTGTCAAATTTCATGAACTTAGTGCTAAATAGTGTAACAATGAAAGTACATTAATAAAAAAAAACCAACACATTTGGACTGATTAAAAATACCAAGAAGTACAACTTTACTTAATGAAATATAAAATCTTTTCTCTTTTCCATTTTAAAATCAAGAAAGGCACCTTGATTCCCCACAAAAAAATAAAATAAAATAAAAATAAAAATAAAAAAAATGTTGAACCAAAACTCTAACAATTAGGCTCAAGTTGATCGAAGATTTGAAATAAGGACATCAATTTGAAAGCAGTCATTGTTCTGAATTTAACATACATAATATTTATTTTCATGTTTTAATCAGGACTAAGATTCGTAAGTTGATAAAGAAGGCATATTTTGAATTGAAGCCGGCAGACAAGGATGATCCTAAGGCTAAGCAGAAGGCTGAAGATGGGATCAATAATGTGTTTGAAAGTGTCAAAAGTTGTATTGCAAAGAAAGATATGGTAAGACATTGATCTTTCTGTGTTCTTTTTCTGAAATAAGCATATAACTAATCTGTGGAGCTATTCAACAATGATATTTTGACCTTAAGATTTTTCTGCTTCGTATTGTCAAATTGCTGTACCCATTTTGATAACAGACCATTTGTAGTCTTGATTAACTTTATTCACACCAAATTGTTGATAGTCTCTATTATATATATTAACTCTGATAGCAAATGTTTTATAATCTTTGTTAAAAATATTTATTCTGTTTGCAGATCTTTGAAAGTCTTTGAATTTATGGATAATTTTTCTCTATAATCCACAACCGGCAAAGCCAAAAGAAACTGTAGGTTAAAATGCCGTCTGCCTGTCCTTTCGGAAAATCCACTTTTTTTTCTTCTTGTCTTAAGATATTCATTTGATGTTTCGTTTAAAATTTGTGCATGACCAGTTACAGATCAAATTTGAATTTTGTCCCAGTCTGATAAATTTGTGCAGAATTACGGTCCCTAGACCTAAAGCATTCACTCCAATAATCAGTTTTCCAAACACTTTTTTGTCTGGAAGATTTGTATTTAATATTTGGTATGTACAGTCGAACCTCGTTGTGTCGAATTCGGTTGTGTCGAAAACTCGGATGAATCGAAGGATAAGCCGGGTCCAGACAATTATCCTGTTTAATCAATGCGTCTTAATGGTTTACTTTTACAAATTGTGACTTGAATGAAAATTTGTTTCATTGGCACTCATACCACATCTTTTATATCTATCTTAACCGTTAGTGTATTTTGATGATTCAAAATTAAATTTTATAGTACCGTACGTTGGAACTAATGTAAATTGACCCATCTAAGTCTGAAATTAAGAAATATCGAAAAATGTTTTTCTTATGTTACCCAATGTTATCAATTTCATAAATGATTAAAGCTGTGTAAACATACGTGTTTGTATAAAAATTAAATGACATGTATCTGGTAACCAGTACTTAACAGCTATGTTTTCGTCCAAGCGGAACTTATGTGTGATGAACATATTTCGCAAATACGGATATAGGTGTAACACCACTAATTTGGGCCCGGCCAGAAAGCAAATACCAGAAAGTAGTACATATTTAACACAAAATAGTTCCTACCCATGAGTGTAACTTTCTAAATATGTAGAATATTTAGGTAATTATGGTATCAAATGAAAGCTGAATGACTGCTGATCATTGTAGAACACTTTTTGACTTATAATTTTTAATATTAAAAAAACTGCAACAAATTTTAAAAAGAGGGTACATTTTGCCTGATTGTCAGATCTGTACCTGTTTTGGTACATCCGAAGTTCCGGGAACCAGTTCATTTTTATATGCCATTAAAGGTAATCTGATTTTTTCAGTACAAGTCACTATAAAGTGGTGCTTTGACAAGCAATGATTGTCACTTAATTTGAAATTAAAACAAAAGAGGTGTGCCTGATTGAAATGGAGGAATCTAACATAGATAGCAATGGGCCCATGAATTAATGGTGTACTTCCTATAGGAACATTTATACCAAAATATTTAAAAAGATTAAGACAATTATGAAAAACCACAAAGATTGTATGCAAAGCCGACGCCCTCATCAGTGATCTTTCATGACTTGATTCTTTCCGCGATTTATTCCATGATCTATAGTGACTGACATTTGTGTATTGATTTTTGTCTAGCTTGCACTATTGATGTTATGAAAACGAGACAAAGCGATCCTAAGTTCCGTCGTCGGGGGCGTCAACATTTAAGTTGAGTCTAGAATTAACGTTTTTCTAAACATCTATAACTTTGTCAAACCTTCATAGAATTTTCTGAAAATTGGACAGAAACGTGTTTATGACCAAAATACAGTACACAGAGCAAAATTTAGAAAATATTTTTTGTTTTGTATTATCGTATTTTACAGATAATTGAAATGTTTTGAACAATAAAAATCCTATTCAGGCTAAGTTTAAAGTTTTTTAGCCATCAATAACTTGATCAAACCTTCATGCAATTTAAAAAAGGCTTGTTTATGACCAATATACACTATCCAAAGCAAAATTCTGATCATTTTGATTTTAATATTTCCGTATTTCATTGATTACTGTTTCTGTTCTTTCGTTGTTTTCCTTTTAAAATTGATGTGTTTCCTTCGGTTTTATTTAGTTTGAAACCCTGTTTTGTTTTCGCTTAATCGATTTTTGACTTTTGAACAGCGGTATACTATTGTAGCTTTTATTCAACCATGACAAGTTATATATAAAATTTGAGTATTGTTCAGTTCAGATGATTTTTGAGTTATGGTCCTAGGACTTCAAAGATATCCAGAAGGAATAAGTTTTTCACACTTTTTTGTCATGCTAGAAGATATTGATTTGATAACATTGTATATTGTTTAACCAAAAGATACAGATCAAGATTAAATTGTAAAATTGAAAATGGAAATGGCGAATATGTTAAAGAGACAACAACACAACCAAATAGCAGACAACAGCCGAATTGTTCAGTTCAGATGATTTGTTTTTACAGAGTTATTGTCCTTGTACTTCATGCTAATGATTACTTTAACTCACTTGTTTTTTAAACAGTTTTTTTTTGGTCAATATGTGCACCAGGATATATATATCCTTTTTTTTATGTTGACAATATTACAAACTTACGATAAAGTTAGAATTTTGGTCCAATATAATGAGCTTTTAATGGGTAGAGGACAATTTATGCCAAACAATAGTTTCAGAATGCTTGTTCTTTGATAGATATTGTTGAAATTAAGAGAATGTATGTGTCATATTCTAATCATTTGATTACATCTTGCATTAAATCAATTGATTTAAACATGTTAAATGTCAAACTACATGATGTTCAATGTATTAGATATGATAATTTTGGCTGATTTATTCATTAGTTTGTAAGAGTGATTTGTTTAATTTCAGATCAGTATATTTCATATAAACAAACACGAAGAACTTGATAATGAAATTCTGAAGATTTTACTGAAAGGTATATCTATTTGTTTCTATATTTGATAAACATTTGACTAATTTAATGGATGACAATATCCAATAAAAATGCACAAAGGACTATATTTTGCTACCAAAGGGTAATGAATGGTCAAATGCGGTCTAATATTCATTGTCATCTTATTAATGTGATTTCAAATTAAGGATAACTTTAAATACTTATAAACAGATATTGCGATTTCATGTACGTCAGGAACATGAGGAAGCAATTTCGGATAGGAAAAAAATCCAAGGTACTGCCTCTGATAAAGCACACAAACTATAAGACGAGTTAATTTATTTTAAAGACCAATGAACTGTAGAAAAAGAAGATCTGAATATTTTCCGGGCACAGTGAACAGGTGTTTGTGTTACACAGAAAAATGGTTTTTAGTTAATTCTTACCTGCTTAAGTTAAAGCAAGTCTTGGTAAACATGTATCAATCCAACTATGTTACCTCTGTCTATAGAACACTTATACCATTAAAATACTATTACAGCTAAAGCTGGTGAAGTAACAGAAAAACAGAGATTAGAGAGATTAAAACTGGCACTCAAATGGGACAGGGCTGACATAGCACAGGAAGAAATATTTAGAGAAGATGCTTTGTGGAGTAGAGGTTTGTTATATATTAGAGATATAGAATATATGACTACTTGAAAAGTTTTCAAATATATCATCCAAATCGTTTGTAAAACAGTGTTTGACAAACATACCAACTATAACTCCACCATAGTTTTTCAAAATAAATTTCATCATAAACTGACCACATCAAAATCCACCATATATTTTTCACATCAGCTCAATGGTACACCTCCCACAGCGATTCCACAATTATTCCACAACAATTCCATCACAGGGGAGAAATTGAATTCTTTAAAGCATGATTGACAAAAACATTAAATAATTAAAGTCGTAATCATTGGGAAAAAAATCTGTTCTCACTTATTTCTCTTTTATCGATAAAACATCATACCAAAACAATGACAATCTTTAAATTCACTGAATTTTAAAGGACCCCATTTTTTTCATTTTAAAATAAAGCCAATGAAATTATCAATCATATAAGACCTTGCGATTTTAGTAAAACTAATAAATAATGTGAGGCTAAATATAATGACATCATAAACACCTTACGATCATTAATTTTCAAATCTGAAAAAAATAAAATTAAGGAAAGTACAAAAGTATATAAGCAAATTAAATTAAATGAGCTCTCTCTCATTCACTTTTTTTTTTAGAAAAAAATTTAATTGTGGTTAAACACTATGCCCATATTATGTATTCTTAAACAAAATATGCAAATGAAAACCAAATTGAAATTTATCCATGACTCCAGATTTGCATTGACAGCTTTCAATGTGTGATTAGATCAGTGGTATTTTTATGGCCATACACACATATACATAATGAAATGATCTTGTTTTCATAATGGCAACTTAGAAATTTCTTATTAAAGCAAGTACAAATTTTAACATTTTAGCACTTTTTTGACATGTAAAATATCATGTTAACCTGATTGAGAAATTGTTAAAAAAATAATGCTGAACCATGATTCATATTTTTTCAACATCTACTCCAGCATAAAAGGAGAAGTACATTTTAGGGCTTATTTGGTGATTTTACGAAAATTTTGAATTCGATGTTACTATTATCTATTTCATTTTCTAAATTAAGAGAAATGACTTTAATGAAATGTGAATATAATTCACAAGTAATTAATTGTTTTGTATGTGTACTAGTTCTGTACGATATTTAAGTCTTAGATACATGATGTTTTTGATTAATTGTTATTGACTTTGAACTAGCTGGCAGTAACTGCGAGTATTCTCACATCTGTACAGTTCATTTTTGTAGTTAGGAATATATCAATACCCTGCCACGTCCCGACTATGTTTTGTAAGATGTATTTCTGCTTTGCATCGATCTGATGAGTTAAGCTCTTTTCAATTGATTTTTATAGTTTGTTCTTATGTTGTACTTTAACACCACTCCCCTATGTTAATGGATGGTTGAGAGCTCACAAATATGTTAACCCCGCCACATTCTTTATGATCTTGTTCCAAGTCAGGAATTGTTTCATAATTTTCAAAGCCAACTATACAGTATGGGTTTTTCTCATTGTTGAAGGGCCGTGCGGTTGCCTTTAATTACATACATCCACTTTGATGGATATTTGTCTCATTAGAAATCATACCATATCCCTAATTGTTATATAGATTGAGAAAAAAACACAAACAAAAACTATGGTGATCTCAAACGGTCTGGAAGAGTGAATTGATCCTTCTTCACATATGGCTTCAGTCCTGTGTGAATATAACATATACATATAAATGAAGAGTTTGAAATAAAGCAAATTCTTAAAAAATAGAAGAGTGGGTGTTATCACTGATAAGTGTGTACAGCTTGCATCTTAATCATATGAGGAAAAGTAACAGTGTTTTATTGAATATACCTTTGACTTTTACTTTTCATTAATCACAAGTCTGCAACCGATAACTATGCACATCGTTTAGATTTTTGTTATTTTTGTTATTTTTGTACCTCTTTTTATGGAATGGCTCACTAATGATTGTATCACAATGCGTTTATGTGCCGTGTTTCTTTCAAACAAAGATATGGACGGACGATGACCTTTTCCCGGCTGATTTAAGATTTAATGTGAGTTAGAAGCATCTCACCGCTATTTATCAAACCTGTTATGTAAACAGATCCAGAACGACTGATGAAGTAACTTAAATTAAGATAGTAATAATAATAATTATAATAATAAAAATAATAATAATAATAATAATAATAATAATAATAAAAATCCAATGGCAAAAATCAAAATAAATCAAAAATTAAAAATATTTTATATATTTACATAGCAACTTAAAAACACAATAAATAAAATACAAATATAAAAAATATAAAAATTGGCGTTACGGGCAACATTCTTATGATTGATATGTATTTAAAATATAAATAAAATACATATCTCAATAAATAAATTAAATTCACATTATTCGAGCATCTATCGCTGCAACTGCAATAGACGATAGAGTGTAGATGTATTACTGTGACTTTAAATAACTTAGACCATAAGGAGAAAGTTATGGGCCGCTTGAATATACATCTAACAGAAATATAACTCGTAGAGTATTAAATGAAACCTCAAATAATGTGAACTTAATAGCAAAGAGAGCCTTTGATAGAGAGTATTGACAAGAGCTCGAAGCATAATTGGAAGAACACATGTTACTTCGAAATATTATACCTCTCTTCGCGTAGCATGTTGAGCGCCGGCCCATCCCATGTCAAACATAGGTAATTCAAGTATATTTAATACATTCTAAAAAATTATATACCTGCATGTTGAGCGCTGGCCCAGCCAATGCTTAGAGGGTATAGGCTCACTTTGCAACCTGAGACAGATAACCTCGAGTGAAAAAATCATTTGCACACAATAACATGTATCAAAAAGAACTGCCAAATGGACAAACAAATGATTCGTTTATCCGACGAGAGGGCTGCCTTGTTACCCGTATTATTCAGGGCTGCCTGAGAACTCAGGTAATAATTTTGTGACAAGTAAAGAATGGGTAACATCCATTATTACATTGCCAAAACGAAATGTGTTACACATGCTGCCCTTATAACAAGTATAACGCATTGAGTATCCCCAAAATTATTCCGAGATAGTGATTGTGCCATATTGGTTATGTGTACTGTAACAAACCTTCGTTCTTAAAATAATTAGAGCTTAGTGATACAAATAAAATGAAAATAGAAATTGATTATATAAGAAAATACTTAACGTAGTAATTTATTATAAATAGCCATCTACTAACTTAGTAAAGAAATAATGAAAATAACAGATCTATCTGCTACCAAATTATGAATAATAATTTCTTAACATTTTCAACAGATCTTGATAAAGTTGATGCCTTTTAACTTCCAATTTTCCAGATGTCCGACGCATCCCAGTTTGAACTATGTGATTTGAATACCATTAGTTGTATCTTTGAATTAAATATAAATAGTGCTCTTTGCAAATCTTAATGCTACTGTAACCAATGGGTCACATATTTATACAACTGATCTTATAGACAAATATGATTTATAATAAGTTCATTAATAATTACTATGTGACAAAAACAAAATGACAGTTTTAAGATGCCTGTTAACGTCAATTAATTTGACAGTCAGCATTGACAGTTAATTACTTTAGTTTTGTCTGTATAATGGCTCATGCATGATTGTATCACAATGCGTATATAGTTCTAATCATGCTTTAATGTCAACTTATTACATTTTATGTTACTGTTTTATAGGAAGTTTTGATGAGACGATGGAGACAGCCATATTAAGTGATAATGTAAAATTTGTACAGATAATTCTGAACCAAGGAGTCGTGATGAGAGAATTTCTCACCAGCAAAAGATTGTTAAAACTTTATGACTTGGTAATATTTCATTCTGATAATAAATTAAATTAATTTAATTAACTAACAGAAAAGGTGTATATGATAAGTACATTAACATGATCTTTAAAACAAATATACATAGAATACTTTGTTTGGCATGCGCCTTTTTGTTATGTGTTTGATATATTTTGTCAGCAGCCTTATAGTAATGAGTTGTAAAATATAAGCACTGTTTTATCTGTCAGACAACTTCTTCGATGTTTCTGCCAGTAAATTTTGTAGATAACTGGCTAAATGTGTCTTTAAATTGCAGGGCAATATTTCAAGATATTCTAACCAAATGGCCATTTTTATATGGTACTATATGAATAGTTTTCTTTTAAAATATGTTTAGTAATTAAATTTTGAATAGTAGATAACTGGCATTAAATGTGTCTTGACATTGCAGGGCAGTTTTTCAAGATATTCTAACCAAATGGCCATTTTTTTATATGGTACTATATGAAAAGTTTTCTTTTAAAAGGTGTTTAGTAATTCAAATTAAACATAAATTTGTAATTTATCATTTTTAGGCATTGAACGAAATAGATATAAATAACATGCCTTTAAAAAAGTTAATTACTAAACTTGGCATGGACGAGCATAAAGAAATGAACATGGAGAAATTGTCTGTCATTGTGGTTTCGATAATGGACAAGTTTGATTATGACATGGAAGAAGACGAAGATATTGATGATAATGCTACTGATAATGCTAATGATAATGAAAGAAATAAGAATGAACTTAAACACTTTAAATATCCATACAAACAATTGCTCATATGGTCAGCACTACTACTTAGGTAAGTTGTTAAATATGTATAAACCGTCAAACAGGACCGTTTAAATATCCATATCAACACTTTCTGATCTTTTTGGCCTTCATACGAAGATGGATCAATCACTGTATTCATCGGAATTGTAGTGTAGGGGTTATTTTCACGTTACTATAAAATTAGACATGATTGCAATTGATTTTATTCATTATTGTTAAACGCTGACCACTGGCAATAGTCAAAATGCAATTAAAGCGATTACATAACTTTTATCATGAAAATCACTGGAGAAGATATGTTTGTAAGTTTGTATGATTGAAAACTTGATTCTGTCGCATTTTTTTATTCAATAAAGACGTTACATTTATTTCTGAATTAACAATATTTGGCCAATAGGTGAAATGCACAAACATGTCCCCGTTCAAATGGTGTGTAGGAAGCAATAATATTAAGTGCAAATTTATCTTTGACCCATGAATTTTACAAACGCTTGAAGAGTTAGGTATTGAAATATAAAGATAGTTGGCCTCACCCTCTCAGAAATGGTCAATTGACTTCGAACGAATATTACTGTTTACATGTTAAAGTCAGTTAAAGGGAAGATATTTATGATGAATGTAAGATTTATTTGAAAGATGTCAAAAAGCCATTACTAGTATTATTTAAATCATACCACTGTCCTGTTAGACGCCTCGTCCTGAAAGACTCATGAAGTATTTGGCAATGGATAATTCCAAGAAAGCAAGATGTCTTTTCCTACCAAAAACATGTAATAAGCAGAATATCAACATACTCATGTCAAAAAAGGTAAATCTATGTTTTTTTGGTGTAGTGAATATCTAACAATTTACATGGATGCACTATTTTCAGACAGCAGATGGCCAACTTTGCATTAAAGATGGGAGGTGAACCAGTGACAAGTACAGTAGCAGCTTCCAGAATACACTTCTCCTTAGCCAAATATATACACAGAAATGAGTTGTCTGTCAAGAATAAAGTCTTAGCATATAAAGAGTAAGTATTTAGAGATAGTCTTGTGTTGTTAAAATTTAAAATTATATACCAATACGAGGTCTCGATGGGGTACTTTCGTTTTTTATTCCATTCTTAAGCTATTTGTCTCATTAGTAGCTCACCGGGCCTGAAGAGCCCCATGTGAGATTTTACCATCACTTGGCGTCCGTCGTCGTCCGTCGTTGTCCATCGTCTGTCGTCGTCGTCTGTCGTCTGTCATCGTCGTCGTCTGTCGTCTGTCGTCGTCGTCTGTCATCGTCGTCATCTGTCTTCGTCGTCATCTGTCGTCGTCGTCTGTCGTTGTCGTCCTCTTCGTCGTCTCTCATCGTCGTCTTTCGTCGTCTGTCGTCGTCGGCTCCGGTCGTCGGCGTAAACTATTTCAAGAATCTTCTCCTCTGAAACTACTGGGCCAAATACCTTCAGACTTTAACTGAATATTCCTTAGGGTATGTAGTTTATAAATTGTATGCGGCGTTTTGATGCATCAACAAACCTGGCGACTATGGCTAGAAATAGAACATAGGGGTCAAATGCAGTTTTTGGCCTACATCTCAAAAACTAAATCATTTTAAGCAAATCTGACATGAGGTAAACATGTTCAATAGGTCAAGATCTTTCAGACGAATCGAACAACCAATTGTTGGGTTGCTGCCACTAAATGGTTATTTTAAGGAAATTTTGCAGTTTTTGGTTATTATCTTGAATATTATTATAGATATAGATAAACTATAAGCAACAATAATGTTCAGCAATGTAAGATCTACATAAAGGTTAAGTTACCAAAATTGTCAATTGACCCATTAAGGAGTTATTGCCCTTTAAAGACAATTTTACACCCTTTTTTATCATGTTTTCTAACTTTAAAAAATCTTTTCATCTAAAACTGCCTGAAGCAAATTAAACCAAACTTAAGAGGAATGATTCTCTGAAAACATGACCGCCATGGCTAAAAATAGAACATAGGGGAAAATGCAGTTTTTGACCTATATCTAAGAATTAAAGCATTTAGATAAAATTGAGAATGGAAATGGGGAATGTGTCAAAGAGACAACAGTCGAAGGTCACCAATGGGTCTTCAATGCAGCGAGAAACTCCCGCACCCGGAGGCTTGATATAGCTAAACCCTAAACAAAAATGTATACTAGTTCAGTGATAATGGCCGTCATACTGACCTCCGAAATATACAAAAGAAACTAAAATTAAAAATCATACAAGACTCACAAAGGCCAGAGGCTCCGGACTTGGGACAGGCGCAAAAATGCGGCAAATAAGACAAGAAGTTTAAGTATTTATTAGGTTAAGATCTACCTAACCTGAAATTATCAGCCAAATCGGGTATCTGATTTTTAAGTTATTTTCCCTGAATTGATGATTTTAAGGAAATTTTGCAGTTTTCGGTTATTATTTTGAATATTGTTATAGATAAAGATAAACTTTAAACAGTATATATATTGAAAAGCAAATTTAATCATTCATGAAAATTTAGCAAAAAATTACAGGTGGGCGATTCAGGCTCTCGAGAGCCTCTTGTTCTCTATTCTGAATATTTTAACACCTCATTAATCTCTACTATTTTTTTCCCTTTTTCTGCTCTTTTTTCTCCATTTTTATCTATTCTGTAAACCCCATCTAGACCCTTTTATAAGTAGTATCGAGAAAGCTATAGAGATTTGACATTTTCTGCTTGATATAAACAAAACCAAAATTTCAGTAAGAGTCAATTGTACCTAAACGGTTGATAAAAATTGAAACATTTTAAACCTGCCTGTCATAGTTAGTGCATGCGTTAAGTTTAACTGTAATAGTTTCTGTTTGTCTGTTTGTTTTGTCTGTCCATGTGCATGTCCTGTGTTACATGTATGTTACTGTTTGGGGTTTAGGACTATAATTACAGTTTGTTTGGTAAGATTATTTTTTTAAAGAATATTTGGTCATGTTTCCGGGAATGTCTGTCTTTTCTAGAATTATGGGTCATGTTTTGCGGGGGTTATTCTATTCTAGAATTAAAGGTCATACTTTGAGGGAGTTTTTTCTATATCTAGAATTAGGTGTCATATTATGAGGGCGGTATTTTTTTTCTAGAACTACAGGGCACATTTTATGTAAGATCCCGATTTTTGAAAATGTCTGGTCAGATTTTGATTGACATTAATTCTTCTCTAGTTGTTTTGAACATGTAGTATATATATATCTTTTTCACAGCAAAACATATACCAAAAACATACTCATCAATGATTTCTTGCCTTTGTTATGTTATCTATAAGCTGTGTCACTCATGAATACATCTATATATTTTCTCACAGAGAGTTTGATGAATTAGCATCAGTCGTACTAGACGAATGTCATTCAAGAGATCCTACCAAAGCCATGATGATTGCTGAGAGGAGATCCCCAACGTGGAGTAATATGACAGGTATGCAGATGGCAGCCTCTGCTGACAATCAAGTAAGAGAAATAACCATGTCGTTTGCTTGTACAAGTTTGGATAATCATATGATCATTCTGCAAGATTGCAATATTGCAAAAATGTAAAATATTTCATCAATAAAAGTGAGACAAAAGATAACTTAAGAATATCCAAACTCATATTTCGAAGACAAACAGACAATGCCATGGCAAAAACATCCCAAAAACAACAGTCTTTGAAACACATCATGGCTTTTCCATAAAAAAATGTGTCTCACGAGGACAGAATGCCCATGAAATTAAGGTACCACAAACACGTTAGAATGTAGGTGCAATATTCGTTATCCATAGAACATTTTGATCTTTTATACCCTTCCAACATAATAATTAATCAATGGCATTCTGCCCCCTAGTGACATCTATCATACCAACGAGGGAATGAGATAACCAAAGCCCCAAAACAGGGGGGATCGCAGGAGCTTCGTAATGTTAAGAAGATCTTACTCGACATATTTGCACCTACAAAATCGATGTTTTGATCACGAGGGAACTACTGAACACAGATTGAGTTTCAGTTTGGTACGTGTCATTATTTGAATTCCATATGCATGTCATGTACGATACATTTGACTTGTTATAATACTCTTAACTGACCAAATGCTTTTTTTTGTGTTTAGTAATACATAATTGCATATTATGAATGTCATTGCATTCTTGATTCTCAGTACACCGAATTGTATACGGAATATAATACTACAATGGTTCATGTCTTAGTTTGTATATGTTACATTTATCATTCGTATAATGTCATATGTACTCGTCGTTCAGGTCAAATTTAATTTCAATGGATCGTAAAAAAATGGTAATGAAATATTCCAAAGCGATCTATTCCGCCACCTCCTTTCCCCTTCAAGAAGCACTTAGGTGAATGAAGATCTAACGAATTGATTGTCAGACAGTCGATCTTTTAATAACTGTTCATTAACCACGCATTCAGGAGGTATTTTCATAGAATATTACACATGTTTTCATAATCTAAGTGAAGAAATGTTTGATAGAATCAAAATGTCATAAATGGTACATATATTTAACCAGTTTCAGTTATATGCTAGATTTACACATCCATCTACAAAAACATTGCACAAAAAATGTTCTAATTCGATCCATGTTTTGCACATTTAGCATATGAAATATCAGAAATTTATATCGGTCACTTCCATAGGAATTTTAACTAAAGAGTATGAATAAGGTGCACATATTTTTGTTTTATTTCCTAATTTCAAGTTGGTTATAAGCTTTACATCGCAGCTACAGCGCTTTAAATAACGGTAAACAATGATAAGGGAACAGAACTTTATATATGATTAATTTCATACGGGCCATGCCCCAAACTATAAATGCGTCACGATAGAATGTTACATTTAGGTGAACGATTCAAGATCCTTGGAATCTCTGTGCATTTTTATTGGTTAAAATTGTAATTTCGTGCTCATAGTGCAACGTGTTACCTTCTTAACCAGACACTACCTTTCCATGGTTTTTGCTGATAGCAGTTAATTTTGTTTTCTAAAGTTACTGTGTAAAAGCCATTGACACCACTTGACATTTATTCACGTGCCCCATTTTTTTTTTATTTTTGCAGACTTTTTTAGCATCCGTTGTTTGCCAAAATTCTATTAGTTCAACATGGAAAAGGGGAATAGGGTCATCCTGGCAGAAGGTACGTATATCATGTTAAAATTGATTTACAGAAAAGCAATATTTTAGGAAATCGAATCCGTAATGCAACATATTGAAAAATATGATACACAACATTATAAACAGTAAAAGTAGGATCACTTCATTGCTGTATTGCTATTATAAACATGATGATTGATATTTCACGATTATATAAAATATATATTAAGTGACTGGTTTATAACATACTGTCAATTCAGGAAATAAGTGTGTGAAATTTATTATTTCGAATCGTTGACCCCTGGCTTAAAAATGAATTCTTATAAATGTAATTGCAAACGTTTGATGAAGGAAAATCACTACTGAAACTATAAATTCGAAGTTTTATAATTATCAATTTGATACCGTTCCATTTTTTGCATTGATAAAAACATCACAATAATTTGTGGATTTACAGTAATGTATAAATAGACGATAATAGTGTATTGACTTGACATATCAACGATATGAGGATGAGGCTTAGAAACGGAGAAATGCGAGGATCTACCGAGCTTTTTCCCCGTTGCGGGACGAATCCTTATATCGTTGATATGTCAAGTCAATACACAATTATTGTCTTTATACTGCAATCAAGAAAAAAAAAAACATTTTCAATCGTTGTTTATTGTGTTATTATTATTTGTTTGATTTAAATAATTGGATAAACCCGCCTTTAAAAAAGCCTCATATCTGGCGGAGAAATGTACACAATAAAATGTACATTTGTTTACCTGTTGAAACCAATCGATGGTGGACGAATTCGTTTGAGTATGAACTAAAATATCAATAATAAGCATAACACATAATGATTTATAGGTTTTAAACAAAAAATATTCACAAGTGAAATATCTTTTTCCCAACAATTGTAAAAGAAATAAGTTTGAGTCGTTCCACGCTTCGTTGTAAACATTGGAAATAAGGACAGGTTGAACAGGTCATCATGAATAATTGAATATAGTTCCGGCTCTACTATTTAAATATTCATGAGGAAAAGTGATATCGAGTCAGTGGAGGTATATGACATAGAAATATACAGGCAACGCATTTTGACTGATCAAATAGAACGAGTGCCGTATAAAAGGCAACCTATGGTTGATGCACAAATTTAACGCTAAAATTGAAAAAAATGTATCCATTGAAATACCAGAAAAGACAAAACCCACAACAAATATCTACGTTTACTGTATCTATGCTGAAGTGGTTTTTGGTAACTTTTAGGTTTTTCATGTAATCAATTTATCAATCTGACTTTTTATACAGGTATTTATCGTGAGTTTGTTCCCCTTCCTGGCAGCAACACCACTCCTGGATATAGACAAACTTGGAGACAATAAAATGTCACCTGCTTATAAGTTCCTGACATTTATTACTTCACCAATAGCAAAGTTTACTTACCATTCCGTAAGTTTATGTTTTTACTGTAAAAACATCCATTATTTTCTTAACATACTACCGAAAATTACCCGAAGATGTTTACTTTAAATAAATCAAATTTAATCGATGATGATAGTCCTTTTTAAGATTTTTGCAGTTTAACATGGGTAACTCTACACAAAAATTTATGACAAAAGGGATAATATGTCATTCCTTATTGTTAACTTTTCTTTTTTATGGATGTTGATGTTCTTTTGGCACCATTTTACAGTGTTTATAGATATCAACTTGTTCGCTATGCCCTTGTCTGTTTTGCTGTTTTGGATTTCAATGAACGTAATCTATATATTACTTCTTCTATAAAAACAGGGCATTTTATTACCACATATTTCTTTAAACCTTTTAAAACTAAATTCTCCCATCGAAACAAAGATTTGGTTTAGAAGTTTGGCAGTTCCTTATTCAAACACAGACTTGTATACCCATCTCTGTCGAGACAAGTGTAAATTCCGCGTTGCTCTCTAGCTGGTTAAGTTTTAATTTAGACTAGACGATATTAGTGCATATATACTCATGCGATAAAATTTGAATGTAGCATTACCATTTCCATGCCATAATACTGGAAAAATATCTAAATATCTGATATTGTTAGCCTTTCCTGAAAAGGAATATGTTTTATTATAATCAATCTGGACTATAAAATCACAAAACCTGAGGTAACTGCCTTTACAGCGAATGTTGATTATAGTTTGTTCTTATGCTGTACTAATTATATATATAATACACCCCTGACCCGTGTAAGAGGGAGGTTTTGGTACCAACGAATTAGTAACCAAGACACATTCTGTATGTTCCTGTCTCAAGTCAGTAGTCTGTAATTCAGTTGTTGTCTTTTTTTTGCTGTATATCATTCTTGTTTTTCAATCATTGTTTTGTATATAAATCATGACGTTAGCGTTCTCGTTTGAATCGTTTTGCATTTGTATGCGACATGCGCTTTACTCTTTGATGAAGGCTGTATGCATGGTTACCTCAAGTTGTTAACCTAAATGTCATTTGGTTTCCAGTACACTAATGAAAGTTGTCTCATCAGCAATCATACAATACCATCTTATTTTTTTTCATTTTTAGATCACCAGACCCAAAGAGCTAGGTGAGATTTTTTCATCATTTGGCGTCCGTTGTCTGTCTGTCGTCGTCCGTCGTCGTTTTCGTATGATGTCCTCTGTTGACTTTTACAAAAATCTAACCAAACTTAGCCATTATCATCATTGGAGTATTTAGTTTCAAAAATGTGTCCGATGACACTGCTTGCCAACCGAGATGGCCGACATAGCTAAAAATAGAACATAGGGTTAAGTGCAAGTTTTTTTTCTATTATTTCGAACACCGTTATAAATAGAGAAAATCTGATCTAAGCACAAATGTTCAGAAAGTTGAACTTTACAGGTTGTCTATATACGTCAAAACTGTCAAACGACTTATACAGGAGTAATTGCCCTAAAATGACATTTTTTTCTTTTTTTTTTTTCTCTTTTGCCTTATATTTTGTCAACTATAGTAGATAGAGAGAATCTTTAAAGGCAAAAAAAAAAAAAAAAAATCAGCCATGATCTACAAATAAGTCTGCATGGTCGAAATTGCTAGTCGACACCTTTTTAGAGTTAATGACATTTTTATCAATTTTTTTACGTTTTAGCCTTTTATCTCAAAAATTATAATTTGTAGATAGAAACTTAAAGAAGTAAAAACAATCAGCAAGGCATGATCTACAAGTAAGACAACAGTGGAGAAATTGTCCGACGACTCTTTTTTTGAGTCAGTGCCATTTGATGACGATTTTCACCATTTTTTGGCGTTTTGCCTTATATGACAAATTATAATAAATGAAGAGACACTTTCATTCACAAACAGGAGCAGCAAGTCAAATATACTAACAAGTCAAATGTTGTCAATATAGTTAGAAGACTGTAACACTTTATAGGAGCGATTGCCCTTATCTGAGGATTTTTTTAACTTTCTTTTGGTTTTTAGCAAAAAACGAAAGTAGATAGAAAGAAACTAAACACACTAAATGATCAGCAATACATGATCAACAAAATAGATTTTTGTCATGAATTCCGTTCTCATCTACAATGTTTGTGATAGTCATATAATGAATATGCCCATAGACCAAGTTAAGCCACACGTGCTCTTTAGACCCTCTAGTTATATTATTCAAACAGAACTATGATAAATACTTAATATATAGGTTCAAAAAAGGTTTTGCCAGACGTGTAAAAAATGTTGGTTGATTTTCGTTAAACTTAATGTAAAATTTAAGGAACATCTTTTTATGCAAGGATTTCAACAATCGATGGTGTATAGGTATTAAATATTATTCCCAATTCTTTCAATTTTCAAAGTTGATATAAATTCATATCCATGATATTCTATGTGAATATGTTCAATTATAACTGTATTATAACTATTTGAAAACATAAGGAAAACAATATGTCTATGTATACTAGTAGTTGGTAAACATACTTGCATGCCTTCAAACAATTACTCTTGGCCATATTAAGTGCAAACGATTTATTTTTAGATAAAATGTTACTGTTTTATTTAAATTTGAAATATTTTAAATTGGTATTTCAGTTGTAGCTTGTGGGATTTCTTGTTTGCTTTGAATGCTTTTCATGTGGTATTCATAGAGGTTGTTGATGTTTTTAATGTTTTTAATCTATTTTGCATATGTATTTCAGTTCATGTATTTGATGTGTCGGATTCTATCTACATTTTTTGTATTTCTATTTCAGTTGATGTATTTTTCTGTTTCTGGTGTTGTTTGAATATTTTGCATATGTTTTTCAGTTGATGCGTTTTTAAATGTTTCTGATTCTATTTACATATTTTGTATAAACTTTTTTAGTTGATGTTTATGTTTCTATTTACATATTTTGTAATTGTTTAGCAGTTGATGTAAAAAATGAAACGTCTTGAATAAAATAAAATGAGAAAAAAAAAACCAAAAAAGTCTTCAGTTGTGTATAATACGCACCCCCTATAAGTTATATATTTTGGATAAAAATCTGTCTATTATACAAGAACAAACACAGTGGTTTATATTGCTTTTTCAGTTTTAGATATGTATTTGATGTTTCTGATTATTTTTACATATTTTGCATTTTATTTTTCAGGTAATGTTTTGATGTTTGAGTTGTTATATACATATTTTGTATTTGTTTTTTCAGTTGATGTATTTGATGTTTCTGATTCTATTTACATATTTTGTATTTGTTTTTCAGTTGATGTATTTGATGTTTCTGATGCTATTTACATATTTTGTATTTGTTTTTCAGTTGATGTATTTGATGTTTCTGATTCTATTTACATATTTTGTATTTGTTTTTCAGTTGATGTATTTGATGTTTCTGATGCTATTTACATATTTTGTATTAGTGGAGTTTCGGACAGCTCATGTTACACCCATAGAGGTTGTGTGTATTGTTTGGATATCTACATTTATTATAGACAATGTATACACAGTAAGTCACCCTACATAAAACTGTTTTTTTTAATAGATTTCAGTTATGTCAAATAAGAACTCAAGTAATTGCAAAGTTGACTGAGTAATACTAAAGAACACAAAGAAATGGTAAGTTTGTGTCAACTGAATTGAAGGAATACTTTTTTTGTTGACAAATATTTCAGATCAGGCATCGTTCCTCCTTGCAAACCACAATTCAAAGCATAAGGGAGAAAACAAATTATAAACGTTTGTTTGTGATAAATTATAAAAGATGAAACAATGCATTTCCACTATTAAAAGCACATCTTCTTCAGAAATGCACATTTAAAGGATATGATATTTGGTAATATTGAACTATATATTTCTATTGGCTACACATTCATATAGCATTTAATTTTTGAATTAGTTTAGAATTGAGTTCAGATGATTATATAATTATAGGTTTTCCATGAAAGAATGGCAGGTACCATGTTACCCGATAAAACTAGTTAATATTTTATACATAATATTAATTAAATGATTTTTGTTTGTTTCAGTGTCTGGCATTTCCATCCCCTACACTAAAGGGTACCATCAGAGACTGGTTTGGACTGCTCAAGTTTCTAGACATTGGAAACTGTTTTATAGCCATAATAGCATTTATAATGCATTTAGAAGGAACTAAAGCCGACGAGGCAAAGTCCATATTTTGTGTCAATGCTGTTGTATTTTACATAAGAGTATTGGAAGTTTATACTGTAAACAGTAGATTAGGACCTAAAATGGTGATGATTAAAAAAATGGTATGTTGATAGGCCAATCTAAACTGAAAACAAATTCATTCAAACTTCTTGTGACTCACAAAACAACAAAAATAGTTTATCCAATCATGCTGTGACTGAAACATCTGCCGACTGTGTTGACTAATAAACCAATTAAATATGCGAAAAAAATAAAGAAATAGAAATAATATGATTCATTTGTTTTCATGGGTTCCATTTTTTTCTGGATAAAGGAAAAATGGTATGTTTGTGGATACATGTATCTGATCCTGTGTTGTTAACAAATAACTGCATACCAGGCTTTGGAAAATATGTACTGTTGACAACTAAATTTGTGTTGGTTCACCGATGCCCATGACATCGACGATAATTGGTATCACAGGAAATAATAATGAATTCAAAGTACATTCAAGCATGCTTTGATTTACTTAGCTATAAATAAGTTGCAGTTAAAATTAATAGTAAATATAAATAGTTTTAAATATGTATCTTTGGTTTTTTCCGAGACAAATGGCACCGAATGCAAGATATAGGCATGCTTATTTACCAGTGACCGCTGCATAAATTATTTGTAAATATAGCTAATTGTTTCAGGTGGTACAATAATTCAGTTTTAGCATGTTAAGTGATGTGTCCATTTATCAGATGCCTGTTCATGTTCATGGTTCATTGGTCCATTGGTCAGTTTTTGTCCATTTAAAGAAGCAATTAGCAAAAGGTCAACTATATTGGGTATATAGAATGATTTTATGTGAACATTTTCATGCTTCACTGATCTGATAAGTGTTTGATGATTATGTTAGTTTTGCAGATACTATAAGCAATAGCTCATATGTATGAGATAATATTATAACATGATGGGAAGGTGTATAATGTCAACATTATGTTTAAGTGACGGAGTTTATGTATAAAAGGATTGTTAGGAACATGTCTGTCTGACGGACTTCATCTAACCTGAGTTGGTTTTTGTTTTGTGATACCAGTAAGGTCTTCATCTTAAAGACTTTCAACATAGATTTTAACCATGATCAGTATAGAGGCTTGAAATATAAGTGAGTGCATTTTTTTAATTAAAAATCAGTTTATAGTTTTTAATTTAGTACTTTAGGATTTGTCGTTATAAAGTTATATTTTCAAGTAATAGAAAAATTGAAGTGGTTCTTTCTTTTTTTATTATTTTTCAGATTTTAGAATTAGTGATGTTTATCTTAGTGTTGACTATATTCTTGGTAGCTTATGGAGTAGTGAGTCAAGGATTAATGTATCGTCAGAGACAATCTGATTGGAAGATCCTTACAGATGTTATATACTTCCCATACTGGCAGTTTTACGGAGAGCTGTTCTTAGACGAAATAGAAGGTAGTTTATTGTGTATGATCATACTGTAGATATACATATTATCAGAACATATATTGGAGCTCTCTCTTTCAATATGTTCTTTTGTTTTATTGTTCTGGCTGCAAAATGCGGGACATAATGAACAGCAATCTGGCAGCGGCGTTGTAAATAATTTGTATTAAGCTTTATATTTTAGAAAGAAGGAGACATGCTTTGTATATAGATGCCTTTTGTTTCGAAGTTTCTATTTGTAATATGGTCAACGTCCTTGAAATCATTTTCATGGTTCAGCAATTGCTTGAAAAAGATAGGTTTTGCTTTAAATGTGGATTTCTTATTTAATATGAGTAAAAGGGTAACTATATTTGGTAAATGGATTTCTTCTACATGTCCATCAGACAGCGTACAACTGACTTCAACCTCATTTCATGGATCAGTGATTACGATTACAGTTATATAATTAGGTCTGTTTTTAAAATACTGTAAGCAGCAGGTCAACTAGATATGTTTGATGGAATGATTGTAACGTGTACATTTCTGTGTGGCAGATATCAGCTGTCTTTCGCCTCATATTCATTGGTCATTAGTCAATGTTAAGTTTCAGTAGTACAGAACTTCATAAGATACTAAAACAAAGTAAGTTAAACCAGAGTGCCTCCAGTCTTTTGTATGAAAATTTCATGATACCCTCTGTTATAAGTAAAGGTCAGAACTTATCACAAAATGTAAAATTTAACCTATCAAAATTGCACGTAAACGCTATTTGAAAGTTGATATCAAGAAAGTTCATTCATGCTACATGTATATGATACTGGTTGTTGAAAAGTGCTGCACCCCAGACTGCTGTGATTTTAATAACATTTTTTTCCAGAAAATATTGTACAGTCGACAATCCTTAAGTGTAAGACTTATCTGTTAATTCAAACCTTTGTTTATATCGTTGAGTAGAAACAGCAAGCTCTTCTTGACAGAATGTCAAAATTAAAGGCACATCATGACACAAACCAAAAAGACTTTGCCTGGAAATATCATATACAGACCTCATCACCAGGCAGTAAACTCACCGGTAATGAAGACAAAGAAAATGTGTTTTTTAAAAGTTGTACAAATAATTGGTTATGTTTTATTTATAGAAGACGAAGATTGTATGATACAAGTAATTTATAATATGACTAATTCGACTGGTATGGCTGATTGGGATAATGTTACTAATCCGATTAATATCACTGATGGTGTTCCTGATCATACGTACTGTAGAAAACCTCACTGGCTGGTTCCTGTATTCTTAGCAGCCTATTTAATGATTGGAAATGTACTATTGCTTAACTTGCTGATAGCCATTTTCAGGTAAAACTCTATTTAGTTATCTGTAGGAAAATTTCATTCACATCTTTACTATTTGATTGTACACAGGCATTCTTAATATGTAAAAAAGACGTGATATGATTAGAATTACTGGTTCAATTCTTTAACAGCTAGGACTGTTTAATTAGGGCACAACACTCTTATATCTGTGTTCTAATGCGATTTTCCTTGTATTTTGACACCCTTCTCTTTTTATAAGCTAACCTGGGCTGACGAATGATAAAAAATGGTCCACATAATCATGGTCTGGAGCATATTTCTACAACGTGGTTTCTTATATAGTTTAAATCATCATGTCCCCCATGAGTGATCCAGTCCCTTTAATGTGGTAGTTTACATTTCGGTAATGTATTCCAGGAGATGGAAACACATTTATTATTGTTCTTAGAGCTGTTCAGTTCTGTTTTCCATGAAGAATAATTTAATTCTTACACAGCCTGGACGTAATACACATGATAGTATTTTATGTGTGTCGGATAGGCATGATAGAGTCTTACATTTTCATACAATTTACATTTCAGTTAAACTGTGGATTCTTTATTAATAATGAGATATCAATTTTTTGTGGATTTCATTGCTAAAGCCATGAACCAGCAATTTTATGTTCAACGAAGTACAGATATGCTATTGGCATGTAGGCAGACTTCGGTTAAACCACAAAATTAAATATTCATGAAAATACAATGTGTCGTCAATCCGCAAAAATTGGCACCCATGATCGAAAAAAAAAGGTTTCAACAATATTCATTCTTATAGAATTTAGAAGTACCAGAAGATCGTGTTTTACGATTTACACTTTACTACCTTTCAGCAATGTATTCCAAGAAGTGGAGGTTAATTCTAACAGAATTTGGAAGTATCAGATGTATTTGCTGGTGATGGAATTTGATACAAAGGCTGCCCTAGTACCACCACTCAGTATTTTTATACATATCTATCTGATCTTCAAATGGGTCTTCAGACATACCTGCTGCAGGAAAGCTAAAGGTATTTATACTGTACAGTTAATAATAGACCGCAGTTACCGCAAAATAAATTATTTAAATCACACACTCAATTCTTATTCTGTTCTTTAATTCACCTGATAGCTAATTCAGGTAAATACATATTGAAATGTTAGAAACTACATGATACTATATTCCCCTGCAGTAGTCAACGAGGGAATAAAGTGTTACCCATGATCATCTTCCGCCTGTCCCATTTTCGTTTCGGCATTCTTACTTACGTTTTAGATGTTTAAATATTGAAAAAACTCACACACAACGCTGAGAATTAAAAACCGCAGACAGAGTTCGTATTTGTGCATTGAATCACTTATTTGTTATGCCTCTTTCTAACTCGGAAAATTGCAAAGCTTGAGCGGGGGCATTCGTATCCTCAGACACATTATTCTTTTATTTTTCTTTGGGTTAAAATAATTGAATCATTTACAATTCTGTTACAAATGAAAATAAAAATTATAGATGGTTGGTATAAAATAAGTGTTGTCCAACTCTCCCATAAATCTGGTGCCTGGAATAGCATCGGGTGTATCTGTAAAGAAAATGGAACAATACTGAATAGATGTGAATAATTGCAATGTAGCAGTTTTCTGATATGTCAATGAAAAAAATAATTGAGCGTATTACATGTTTGTTCTTCCATTAACATTTGAATTTATATACACTGTATTAAAGAAAATAAGTAGGAAATCATAGAACGTCCAAGAGTATGGGTACCTTTCCTTTATTTCTGCACTTTATGATGTGAACTCAAAAAACACAATAAGAAAACATTAAATCTTAAACCCCAATATATTCTTAAACTGTCATATTTGTTAAATGAGTGCTTTTTTCACAATGAGATATTGTTTACACAAACATTAAAAACATTAAAAAAACATTTGGTTTAAAAGTCCAATTAGTTAAAAACAAATATTGTTCTAAACCATGATGAATGAGTATGTGAAATAATCAATAAAACTTAGTATACTGATATTAGTCTTCTACGAGCTTATAGTCATAACTTTAGGAGCCAAAGAAAGCCATTTTTTTTTCAATATGATCAATAAAGCTTAATATTAGAGAAGCTACGAACATTTTAAACACAAGCTTTTGTCAAAATATACAAAGCATATAACTAACACTCAAACAGTAGCAAACAACATACTTTCATTTTCATTTGTAACAGATATTTATTTGTCTTCCATCCCATTAACTCGAAAAAATATCATGTGGTTTCAAACCTTCCAATTTAAAAATAAAACTAAGTATAAAATCCTAAGTCAGGAATCTGATGTTCAGTAGTTGTCGTTTGTTGATGTGGTTCTAACGTGTTTTTTCGTTTCTCGTTTTCTATATAGATTAGGCCGTTGGTTTTCCCGTTTGAATGGTTTTACACTAGTAATTTTTGGGGCCCTTTATAGCTTACTGTTCGGTGTGAGCCAAGGCTCCGTGTTGAAGACCGTACTTTGACCTATAATGGTTTACTTTTTTTAAATTGTGACTTGGATAGAGAGTTGTCTCATTGGCACTCATACCACATCTTCTTATATCTATAAAATGCATTAGTCAACTTAGTTCAAAATTTGGCTATGGTATATATATAAATAACTGCAACTCATGGATTAAATTGAAAATTAAAACACACGAGGAAATGAAAAATAAATCATTATCAATATTGTGCATTTACTCAATTATAAATTGTATATTGTTGCTATATTTTTATTGGTCAAAAGCTTGGATAAGTCTTACTATGCGTTTTCAATTTTCAGAGGGTAAGCTTATTTCTGGTAATATGAAAAATAATATCATGTGTTGGCTACTTTGTCCATAATCCTAATTTTCATATTCATATTTCATTTTCCATCATCAAAATTGCATGCCATGACTTTGTGACATGAAATATGTTGATCCGACTGAATAAGTTTGATCTGGACTTATAAACAATATCATAATCTTATAACCCACAGTGATGGAAGTCATCTTAAAAAGTACTGTTTCGAACTTTCAATCAGCTGCTTAACACAATATGAAGCATTTTTGAACTCCTTCACAGTGTTCACTTTTCACAATGCTTATAAAAAAGAAGATTAACATGAGTTTCAATGAGTTTATATGTTCTTGAATGTCTTTTTTAACTCCTTTGAATGTCATCATCTCTCATGGAAGGCAACTCCCATTAATAGTGTAAGTTGGCAGATATATTTTAACATACATTTAAAACGGGAAAATGGTATATTTATGTTTGTAATATGAAATATTCAACTGGTTTGCTTTTCTTAGAAAACCGCTATATAATGTGTTTTCTGTAATTTTAGAGACTTTCATTCCATCTAACCTTTTTTTTAACCTTCTTAAAATACTTTTACTAAAACAAAATACTTGAGATTGAAAGTTTTCTTTTCTATTGTATTCCTTTCTTACAGATTTTTGTGAGTAATCGTATATTGAGTAATTACAGACTGCATATGCATGTGGCTTTTACTATTGTATTACTAATTTTGACATAGTAACATTTATATTAATTCTTTTTCATTCTGCCTTGTTCAATCACTCTTTAATTCTTATATTACTGCTTTGTATTATTAAAATAGAACTTTTCAGCCTAGTCACCATATTGCAGTAGAACTTATCAAGAAGTTAGGACTATCAAGCGTAAAAGTAATGTCTAAATTAAAAGACAATAATTTGTACGATAAACATAACTAATTGAGTTTGTCTGCTGTCCCTCAGGAGCATCTGAGATAAATCAGCAACGGTTTTTGAAGGGGTGCGTGTTGCTTAGTCTTTAATTGTCTATGTTGTGTTTTGCATACTGTTATTTTTTTTTTTATCTATTTTTTGCCATGTCGTTGTTATGTCGACTTATGAGTTTGAATATCCCTTTGGTATATTTTGCATCTCTTTTATACCGTTTGATAACAATGCTAGACACTGTGATTCACGACTGATATTGTATGGTACCAGTGTGCATAAAACTGTTACACTGTCTGTTGAAAGTGTTTATAATATTCTAGACTAGAACTATTTCAATACTTTAAGCTTATTAACATAAATATGTAACTGCCATAGAAATGAATACAACTAACACAGTTTGCCAATGTCGAGTGCTTTCACATTATATTTATTTTTCATGAAACAATTTTTCACAATTCTGCATTATATACAGTCTGAAAAAAGGACGGTTATATTACCGATCGTTTGATATGACAGTTGTTATCAATGCGTTTTATGTTTGAGCTTTTGATTTTGCCATTTGATTATGGAAAAGGTTAAATCACAAAAATACTGAACTCCAAGGAAAATTAAAAACGGAAAGTCCCTAATCAAATGGCAAAATCAAAAGCACAAACACATCAAACGAATGGACAACAACTGTCATATTCCTGACTTGGTACAGGCATTTTCTTATGTAGAAAATGGTGGATTGAACCTGGTTTTATAGCGCTAAACCTCTCACTTGTATGACAGTCGCATCAAATTCCATTATATTGACAACGATGCGTGATTAAAACAAACAGACATATTAGGTAAAAATGTCAAAATAAGGGTACAGCAGTCAACACCGTCTCTCAATCTTAATCACAACAAAAACAAACAAATATTTCAAAAAAGCTCAAAAAAGCATATATCACATTTAACAACATCGTTCATTGCTTACTTATTTTTGTATTTTATTTATGTATGCCAAAATCAACCAATAAAGGATCGAGGGATTTTAAGCTCTGGGACCAAATCGTAATTTTAACGTTAACTCTGGCGTAGAATCGCGTGTTTGACGTCAGAATGAAAACGTCACACAGGTAGAGATATAAAATAATTTTGTCGTTCAAAGTATGCAAAAATTATAATAGAACAATAACACAATAGCGGGATGCTTAAAATACAGAGACACGTCATATGTATCAAAGAAACATAAAAAGTCACACGGACAAAGCACACAAGTAAAAATGAAAAATAATACAAACAACACAATGACGGGATGCATAAGTACAGAGCCACGTCAAATGTATATCACCAAAAACAGATCAAACGGTAAAAGTAATATTAATAAAGACAAATAAAAGAACACTTTAACACGTTGTTAAGATGATAAACAGCGTCAGTACGTAGAATCTATACTTCAAGACCATCTTGTATTATTTGTGAAGTTGATACGGAATGTTTATCAACAAGGTTTTGGTACCTTCCGATGAATTTTTGTAGAAAAAGGACGAGACGTTCTTTTACATACCCCTGGTTCATCAACTTTCTGCTCAGACACTGGTGACGTTTTACAAAGTCTGAGTAGGAGCTGCAAGCTCTTGCATACCGAATAAGTTGGGAAATGTATATCCCATATGCAGGTGAAGTTGGTATATTGCTACTAAGGTGGGGGAAATTGATAATTTTAAAAATTTTCGTTTTGAATTTTCCTCAAAGTTCGGTATTTTGGTTAATTTACTTTTTAATTATACTATAAGGAGTTTTATTTAATTACCTTTAACTTAAATGTGTTATGAGATAACATTTGCAGCATAAGTCTGCTCAATTACAATCATTTATACAAATACATTAGAAATGCTTTGAATTCAGAAATTATTGATAGGTTTTTATCATTGCGAGTAATACGACTGGGTGAGTATTGCAATAGTAAAAACTCGCATTCTGACATCTGACATATACATTTGTATGCAACTTCTACTTCTGTGATTGCAATATTTATTCTTATATTTTGGTCTGCTATTTGGAAATTTCAATAATAAATGAATGCAATGATTTCTGAATAAGTTAAACGGTATCAGGTTTTCTTCACCAGATGCGCATTTTTACAATGAATGTCTCTTCAGTGATTTCGAGGCCAAAATATCTGAAAATCCACAGCATTTTAAAACTATGGAGAGCGTATAAACCAAAAAGGAAAAAAAAAATAATAGCCAAAGTCAGGCAAGGAATCAGAGCTTTGCATAATGGAGATATTTTTCTTAATTCAGAATAATTTCCAAAATTCAAACAAAATTTACAGTATGAAATTAATCAGGGTCCTAAAAAAATATCAACAGGAGGTCTTTAATATGGTTTGTCCAACTTCTACTTACAGCAGGTGTCTGCTGTGATATTGGATTAAGTATATCTGTTTTTTTTCTAAAATAATGGTCTTTGGTATAACTGATTCCCTAATATCAAAGTATGTTTCATAGTTCAGATTGAAACATGAGATTATGGTGAATGTTCAAGAAAGCATACTTAATCGGAAAAATCAACAAAATGATTTATATGGTGATTCTTTGATAGTAGGTTGTAATTTTTGTTTTCTGGGTTCAAAAAGAGTTTTGTTTCATATAAAAAAGAAGATGTGGTATGATTGCCAATGAGACAACTCCCCACAAGACACCAAATGACACAGAAATTAACAACTATAGGTCACCGTACGGCCTTCAACAATATATACATCTTTATATCAGTAATATTTCCCAGCTTGTCTTTAATTAGAGGCACTACAAATCCTGACAGAGTATTGGTCACCAGGCATTTTTGCATAAAATTGATACAATACTTATTACGCAACATGAATGTTGGTGTTGAATATATGGGCTATAATATTCTCTTAATAATAATTTTGTTTCAAGAGAGACTTATTTGAAGATGTTGTGTTACTGCTATTTTTTTCTGTATACATTTTTATTATACTTTTCAAAATATTAGGTTAAAAAAATAGGAAAAATGGTTAAAATCATCTATTGCAGTTTTCATGATAATAGCTAAAAACTCCCCAAAATTGTAAAAATCATCTTCTTTTGGAAATAAACCCATTAAGGAGCTTGTCTGGCTTTTTTTTGCTATTTTTAATGTATTTGTAGACTTACTTGTCTTGCTCATACATTTTGACTTTTATCCTTTCTCTCTTGAATTTATAGTTCTGATGTCCAAGATGGCAAAAATTGGTTTACTTTTTCATTTAAGTGAAATTACTCTGTGACAATCAGATTGTGACAGAGTTGTCAGGTCACAACTGGAGATTTGAAAATTTTCAGCTGAAGTTCTGGCTGAAAAACTGGAGATTTTTTATCGACATATTTATTATCGTTTACAGTGTTCATTTTTATGATAAAACTACATATTTTCTCTTTGAATCTTAGCAAACATGAGTAGCAGATAGATCTTGCTATTCTGATCGTTGTTTTGTCCTGGACTGAGTTGTCTTGCCTATCACAGTTATAAAGATATAACACAATCTATATTCTGTTTTCTCTAAGTATAATGGTCGACAATTTTGATTGCAATTAACCTGGAAGTTTAATGGGAACCAATTGTGCCCCTCTTCTTGCCGACTTGTTTCTTTATTATTATGAGGCTGACTTCATACAAAAACTTCTTAGGAAGAAAGATAAGAAGTTAGCAATATCCTTTAACTTTACGTTCCGCTATATAGATGCTGTTCTCTCACTAAATAATACAAAATTTGGTGACTATGTTGAACGAATCTATCCCATCGAACTAGAGATAAAGGATACTACAGATACAGTTAAGTCTGCCTCATATCTTGACTTACATCTAGAAATTGACAATGAGGGTCGATTGAAAACAAAACCTTATGACAAAAGAGATGATTTCAGCTTCCCAATTGTGAACTTTCCATTCCTATGTAGCAACATTCAAGCAGCGCCTGCATACGGAGTTTATATCTCCCAATTGATACGATACTCCCAGGCTTGTATTTCCTATCATGATTTCCTTGATAGAGGATTGTTGCTCACAAGGAAGCTATTAAACCAAGAGTTCCAAATGGTGAAGTTGAAATCATCCCTTCGTAAATTTTACGGACGCCATCACAAGTTGGTTGACCGTTATGAAATAACCGTTTAACAGATGATATCGGATATGTTCCTTATGTCGTAACTACAATACCCTTCCCTTTTCACGAATGTGACCTACCGAATAAGACTAGATACCGGATTTGTAATAACATAAGCAACACGACGGGTGCCACATGTTGAGCAGAATCTGCTTACCTTTCCGGATCACCTGAGATCACCCCCAGTTTTTGGTGGGGTTCGTGTTGCTTAGTCTTTAGTTTTCTATGTTGTGTCATCTGTACTATTATTTGTCTGTTTGTCTTTTTATTTTTGGCCATAGCGTTGTCAGTTTGTTTCCGATCTATGAGTTTGACTGTCCCTCTGGTATCTTTAGTCCCTCTTTCATGTGAGAATAATTTTGCAACAGAAAACAGACAACAAACACCAAGTGATTAAAGAAACTCATACTGGTCTTACGAAGACAGTCATATCAGCGTTTAAATTGTTACCCATTTTATTTTCAGGTCGCCAATATGGTTCTCGCCATTTAGAATATTTACAGCTGTTTGAGAAAGAACAATTATCTAACTACTTGAGGAAAAAGAAAGCTGATGCTAAAAATTCTACAGAAATAAGTAACCTTAGTATGCAGAAAAGGTAAGTAGACCAAACTTCCTGTTGTGTTTTGTTTGATATTATACATAAAACTTTGCTGTCTGCCATGCAACTAGATGATTTTGAATTTCGGAAATGTTGTTTATTTTTTATGAAAATAAGGAGATGTGGTTTGATTGTCAATAACATAACTAGAGTCAAAATGACGTTGCTTTAAGCCACTGGCTTAAAATCACATACAGAGAATGTAATAAATGAAAGAGTTGACTGTAGATTTAATCAGTAAGAAATGTGAAGGAGATGTAGGATGTTGAGACTAAATTATGTTATTTTTAATTCTAAACAACCAGTAAATAATTTTAAGTTGAAATTTGAATTAATTATTTACCTTTTTGGTTGGTTTGGAAGCTGGTTAACTGATGTAAATTAAAAAAGAGGCCAGAGATACCAACTGGATAGTCAAACTCAGAATTCAAAAACACACTGACAATACCATGGCAAAAATAAAAACACAAACAATGTACACATACCACAATATAGAAACTAAGGACTTCAGTGATCTGGAAGGATTTTTCTCTATGGGCCCAGGGCCCCCAAAAAATAAAATCAATGGGCCATTTTAAGAATTAATGAGCCATGTTGTAAAATGAGTGGGCCATTCGTTTACAACAAAGAATAAAAAAAAGTGTATATTTCAGCAAAGAGGTAGTGGTACTAACCAGTATGATTCTAATTGACATCATGGATATTGTTCCTGTGCTTTTGTAATTACAATTTCAATAAATAAAATAAAGTTAATTATGTTCCTGGAGATGTATGTGACCATCAACATGACCAACATACAAAAGAATGTATGTCTCTGATGTGACTAAGCATGACATTGTATGAGTTCATGAAATGTAACATTACTCAGAAATTATACTTTTTATGACTTATAATAAAAAACTATAAAACTGAGCAAAATATGACTAGAACACTACTTCAATGAACAGAAATCATTAATGGGGAAATGCTGAGATCAATAATAGACATCTGATATGGACTGATTTTAAAAATTTGTACTAGTAATTATTGAAAAATCTATGCCAATTGATTCTTTTGAGAAAACATGAAACTTGAATATACATTTATATAAATTATCAAACCATACAAAACAGTACAATCATAGTAGAATCATATAATAAAAGATAAAAGTAATAACTGAGTAACTAGAACTATGACAATGGCAAACTAAAAGTAGCTGACCTAGATTTTGTGGCACACAATTGGAGAAAGAAGAAATGAATCTTAATAAGAAAACTAGAGAAGACCAATTTAATTCCAAGTTAGTTGAAATGATTTTTGGCAAAAAATAAAATTGCAGTACAATGCTACCATCATACAGTTACCAGGGCCATAACTTCTTCCAAACCGGGCAATATTTACGAGAACCTTTATGTACAATGTTAATACATGTACCGTTGCCTTGTTCATGTTCACGTTTTGTTTTTGGGTCTTCGTCGACTGTCATACTTTATTCCAGACGTTCCGTATTAAAGGACGTTTCAGGCATTTCCTCTGCACTTCTTATATTATTATTATTTCATCAAGATGACAAGAATAACAGAAGAGAGTAACGTTTATTGATAAGACACAACAACAATTCGCTGAAGGCATGTTTACAAAATGTACAAACGAGCCAAAGACCAAAAAATTGACAAGGACAGTTAAGCGCCTTTTATGGAGACAAATACTACATTATAAAAAGACCTTTGGGTTTTTCAATCGAAATAATAGCAAGTTTACTGTAAAGATTATAATTTTAGAATATTTCTCGTCTCTACTAGACAACTTTCACAAATTTATAGTTGTTTATAAAAAATTATATCATGGATGATGGTTAATTACGTTTTTTGGGTAATCAGTTATACCGCATGTTGCTATCATTATCATAGGAAAACGCCCGAGACGTCCCAAACATATATTTAGGTGGCGGTGCTCCTATTTGGAGGGAACACGACACAGTTTTGTACACACACATGGCGACACAAAACACGATCGGGAATCCGTTTTACAATATCTAAACGTTTAGATATGAAGTGAAAAATATCGTGCGCCACGTGGGCGCTTACATTTGTCACTCTATGCGCCATTTCTGGTCGAAAAGCGCAATTGGCGCATGGTGATTGACCTTCCCGATCACTGACTTCACGAACCCAGACAAAAACCGAGGAGGATTTCATGTGCTCTAGAAAGGTAAGAAGATCTTGCTCAAGATGTGGCACCTGTCGTGCTGCTCATGTAAGTATTAATCCGGTGAATACATTTGAGGAAAAGGGGACTTTTGTGTAAGAACTATGTGATATTAAATTTTATTGTCTTTTTTTACAGAATAGATGAGTTGTATAAGATGATAAAAGAGGAATTTTTAGATGATGATCCAGCAACAGTAGACCGCGAATCTTCCAAGGCAAGATTTGAAAGTTTATACAGACCAAACACAGCAGGGGAGGCTACTCTTCACAGACAGATATCGAAAAAAGGATCTATAAAGGAGACTGTGGTAATAATTTGTAATATAAGTTTTGTGATAAGTTAGACCACTGTTAATATGTCATTTCATATATTAATGTTATTTCACCAGAAATATTAAGATACTAGTACTTCTTAACAGTACAAAAAGTGTTATGTTCAAGGGATGGTATCTTTGTAAAATAACATCTATTAATAGCCAAAATGAGGTGAGTTGGTTTAAGCTAGGAGACAAGTAACCCAACTTTCATAACAAATTAAAATAACTCACTTTCAAAGAAGTATTCAACATATCAATGTTTTTGTTCTATTATATAAGACTTGATAGATCCTCATTATAAATTGGTTTGGATGAAGTAAAATTGATCGATTGTTGCTTGCTTAACGTCCAGTGGTCAATTATTTCATGCAGAACAAGAAAGATCTAGAAATTGGCAATGTTGATGTTCATCAAAAACTTTTAATAAGTTAAGAAAAAACCTTTAGCTTTAAGGTTTAAATGGACAATATTATTTTTATGCAACTCCTGAAGATTAAATTAACATCCACAACAAATTATTTGTGTCCTTATGCAATTAAAATTCTTGGCTTTATAACAGTAAAAATCTGTATATTTTTTATGCATTATTTCATTCTTATTCATGTAAAAGTGTTTTTACACAAGACGTATATGTTTATTGAAGCTATCGGTAGTAGTATAATAAATATAAGATATCATTTTAACCCACCAAAAAATGTAAACTTGATAATAAATTGTTCGAATAAGGCATTTGAAAATAGTGGAATTAATTACTTTTGGAGTGTCAAAAATTCGTTGGAAGTACTTGATAAATTGCATGCTTTTATTTGTGATTTCGAATCTGTTCAAAGTTTTGATTTTTCTATTCTATACACCACTTTGCCTCATAATCTTATTAAGAAAAAATTCACACACCTAATCAAATGGGCATTTAAAAAGTCAGAATGCAAATATATATGTTCAAACTCTTTTAGGTCAATTTTTAGTAACAACAAACAAAAGAACTATGTCAATTGGACCTGCTTTGATACTATATCTGCCCTTGAATTTTTACTAGATAATATTTTTGTTCGCTATGGAGATTCTGTATATCGTCAAGTTATCGGAATTCCAATGGGGACTAACTGTGCACCACTTTTTGCGGACCTGTTTCTGTATTATTATGAATTTCAATTTATGACTAAAATTAGCAAAGACCCATCGAAACAACATCTGATACAAAAATTTAATAACACTTTTAGATATTTGGATGATATATTGGCTCTCAATAATGACAACTTCAGTATGTACACTAAAAATATATCCTGCTGAACTTACTTTAAATAAAGCTAATACTAACAATGAACACTGCCCTTTCCTGGATCTTGATATCTATATCTTTAACGGGAAGGTTAATACCAAAATTTATGATAAAAGAGATGATTTTTCATTTCCTATTGTTAATTATCCATTTCTAGATGGTGGTGTGCCCTTGTCGCCGTCTTATGGTGTTTATATATCTCAACTTGTTCGATTCGCTTGTGTATGTAACAACGTATTTGATTTTAACGAAAGAAATCTTTGTATTACTATACACCAGGGTTTTCGATATCACAAACTAGTCAAAACATTTACTAAATGTTATCATCGGTACAAGGATATCATTCGTAAATATGAATCAACATGCAGACGCCTTATACGTTCAGGTATTTCACATCCAATTTATTTTTTTATACAAAGCACAAATATGTCGACATTCACCTCCAAAGCTAACCAAACCTTTAAACAGACTTATTCAGAAGGTATATTATTATTATACTGATGTCAGTTCATTAAAGATGTCATATTTTGGTATTAATATTGATTCACTTATAGGGTCTTTGCATCGGAAATAAACACATTTATTCTAAAACCAGTTGTTGGCATGATACGGGTTATGTTCTTTTAATATATTTTATGATGGTATGATTCTAAACCCCTAACGGCAGGGATTGTGCTTGATTTTCATATGATGAAGATATAATCTTTCAATCAGTTTAATCGAGGTCTGGAGCTGGCATGTCAGTAACTGCTAGTAGTCCCTTGTTAATGTAGGTATCATTGTCATTTTGCTTAGTTTCTTAAGTTACCTTTTCTGACATCGGACTTGGACTTCGTCTAAACTGAGTTTTACTGTGCGTATTATTGTGTGTTTTTTTTTCATTCTACATTGGCTAGAGGTATAGGGGGAGGGTTGAGATCTCACAAAACACGTTTAACCCCGCCGCATTTTTGCACCTGTCCCAAGTCAGGAGCCTCTGGCCATTGTTAGTCTTGTATGTTTTTTAATTTTAGTTCATTTATATGTTTTGGAGTTTAGTGTAACGTCCATTTTCACTGAACTAGTACACATTTGGTTTAAAGGCCGGCTGAAGCCCGCCTCCGGGTGCGGGATTTTCTCGCTGTGTTGAAGGCCCATTAGTGGCCGTCGGCTGTTTTCTGCTGTTTGGTCGGGTTGTTGTCTCTTTGACACATTCCCCATATCCATTCTCAATTTTATTTGTTTTAAGGTTTATAGATTCAATGTAGAAACTCCAGATTAACTTGTCAATATTTGTTATTTAGCCAACAGACAAAGAGGAGGAAGACAAAAAAGAAATGAAACACAGAAAGAAGAAAAGGAAGAAGAAGGCTAAAGATGATGAAGAAATATTGTTGAAGGCTAAAGATGATGAAGAAATATTGTTGCAGGCTAAAGATGACGAAGACAAATTGTTTAAGGCTAAAGATGATGAAGACAAATTGTTGAACATAGACAAAGACATACAAAAACCAAAAGCAGAGAAAAAGGTTGCTGATTTATGGGAAGAAAATCAATCAGATGAAGAATATGCTATGGCTCCTTCCTTATTACCTATTGCTCCTAGACGCAAATCACCGACAAAACATTTGACGATGGATTCTGATAGTGATGATGAGAAACCATCAAGATCGCTTCGTATGAATATCCAACATGACTCTGATGATAATTCTGATTTGAACAATTTTGATAGAGTCAAAAAGAAAAGAAGGAGGAGAAGTCGACCACAAGATTCTTTCTCTGAAGAAGATCTAAAATACAGAGGCTCAAAAATACGCCAAAAGTTGAGAAAGAAAAGATCGCGTACAAATGACAGTGACTCTAATTAATGGTGCCAAATCTTTATTTGTGTTAGTGGCCCTAGTGTGGTCATAGTGTTGTTTCAATCAGTTTCAATCATTTTGTAATGGTCAAGGCGGTTCATAATTAATGGAATGTTTTAATACTTATTTATTCATTTTGATTAATGTTGATTGTTAAAATGTATTTTTTAAGTTTTCTTTATTTTTGAGCAACTATACTAAAAGGGCGATGTTGCTGTAACAGTTTTCATACACATCAATTATTGTCAAGTTATTAAAAAAAGATATATGTTATGAGGGTCTTGATGGGGTGTACAGCATAGAAATAATAGGCCAATACTACAGAAAAAAGGGCCCACAAAATAAAGAATAGAGTATAATGGGCCAAATTTACTAAGAAAAGAGAAAAATAATAAAAAAAAAATTTGAATTGAAGAAACTCCCTAATCCAGACTCTCTATTATGTGGATATTAAATGGTCCTTTTTGAGAGACATGGGCAGTAGCCTAAGAAATATTTACATTCAATGGCCTTATTTGAGGTTATGTATAGATGAATGAAATGAGGATTAGTATATTATGTAGTATTTTATACACAATTTTTAGAGAATATTAAACATATTTTGTAACAATTTATATAGAACTCACACATATAGTAATATAATATAGCTATTTCAGAATAGTTTTGGATTTCAAATTATCATTTGGTAAGATGGATAAAATATGTATTTTTTCATGTTGTTTGATACAAATTAGGGTATTTTTCCCCCAGCATATTATTGTTATGTTCAACCCGGTAAGTTTTTGGTTATGGTAGTTTTCCACGAAGTTTAAGTCACTTAGTTCACATGTTCATTATGATGTTAAATTTTTAAATTGTATGCCGATTTCATGTTTATCTGAACATTGACATAGGATAGTGCATGCGGGGCATGGTGAACTACGGACACATATTTGTTTTATTCATGTAAAAGTCTGGGTCTAAGGTACTTATTTTTCAGTTTCTAAACTTTGCCTCAAATCATCTACTGGAAAAAGTTGTTTGGATTTTATAATCAGTAAATATGTTAGTTGCATGTTTCATTGAAACACTTACAGTATACGACAGGACAAGCATTACATTGTAGTGCAAGAAACCAATATAACCTAGGCTAGTTAATGTAAACTTTTGGTATAATTTTGTACACTGGTGAGTCGAACAAGTTATGAATTGCATTCATTCTAAAGAATTATAATAGTATTTAAGTACATTTATATTGTTGGATGCCATATGTTGACTTCTGAGATTGTTGTCTCATTTGCAATTATCACGTATCTCTTTCATTGTATTAATATGCATTTATTGTTTTATCTTTGTCAAATGTATTTCTATCATGTTTTTTTTTTTCACTTTTTTTCACCCTTTAAAGATTTGGAAGCAGTGGCTGATTCCGATGAGCGGCTTATTAGGTGAATCCCTTCAAAATAATTCGTTTTCTTAAAATTGCCCAATATTTTTTTACCATTTTTGACATTTAAACCCCACTTTCCTCAGATCCTGGATCTGCCCCCTGTTAAGTCAGTTGCATTAGATAGAATTAATATTTTAAACTTAAACTTAAACTTCAAATTGCTGATTTTGATATTAGAATCAACTTGTTTTAAATAGTGTATTAAAATCACCTGTAAATTTTTGTATGCCGCAAACAGTAATTAGTTGGTAGAAATTATGTGAAAGTTGTTTACTTTTGGGGGAATTTTGTTTTAAATTTTTACACTAAGCTCGTGACCATCTTTTATCATTTTATATTTCAGATTACTAACATATAACAGATATTGTTTGTTATAACACTTTATGTAAATTGACATCTTTCAATTTCTGTGTGAATGTATTGTTCCCTTTTTTAGCTATGAAACTATAAGAAGAGAATATTCCGATTTTACCTTTTGGTTCGATATTTATATTCAAAATAGATCTACCTTTTTATGCATACCAGTGCCCTGTGTAAAACAAATAATGAAATAATTTGATTGAGACTGGTTTGCTTGTTTTCAATATGTTTGTCATTGTTTATATCAAATACTCAAAAATACACCGGTTATTACTGGTATGCAGCAAAAAGGTTGAGAAATTTCACTATGGATTCATTTATTTTCATTTAATACAGGAAAAATTGTAGTTTCATGGTTTTATATAATTCTGCATACAAGTGTTTAGAAAATTTGTATTTTGTTGAACATGTGAGTTCATGGTTGACCAAAACCCATGAAATCTATAAAAATAAGTACCCCATGTATAATAATAACCAATACCCAGGAAATCCATGAAACTAAGTACCCCATGTATAACAATAACCAATACCCATGAAATCCATAAAATAAGTATTCCATGTATAATTAAAAACCAATTGTTCAGAAAACAATTGAAGGTCTTTCCACCCCTAACGATATATTTGGATATGAAAATAATAAAATTCGGTTTAAAATGTCAGTTCCAGTGTCAAATGATAGCCCATTGTTTGCTGATTCCAAAAATATATGGTTTCTATACAGTTTTATTTGAAAATAGGGAGATAATGTGTTACTTCCGGTCTGAAAAATGGCATTTCAGGTATTATTTGATTGTTAATTTGACACTGCTTTCAAAAATATATTAATCTATACATTCTTATATGATATAAGTACAAAAAATAGCCACTTCCAGTTTATATAAGGTCACTTCCGGTTTGATTCTTTCAAGGTCATATGGCTTGTAACCTAATGCTGAAAGTCCTATGGCTTTATAATGTATAAATATGAATTTAAAGCAAAGGTCAAAATCTAGAACGTCAAATTTATCTATGACCTTGACATCAATTTCAAGGTCATAAACGAAGGACATCAAATGAAAATACCCTAGGTCTTTATTATATATGGTTAATGAGTTATATTAATTACTATATGCATAATTCTAAATATAAGAGGGCTAAAACTCCCATATAAAGTCTACGCACCCTGTCAACCAAAATATATGTGTTACGACATGTCACAACTAACAATTCAGTTAAAAAATTTTGTCGATATCTTATACTGTTTCTGAAAAGAAGTGAAATTAAGCCAAAATCAAAATTAAGAACATTTTTCTTATTTAAAATACAAAACGGGAAATAACTCTCATATGGAGTCTCCGGACCGCTTCGGTCAAAATTATTCTTAAGATCCTGAGGATATAACGAGCAAATTGGTAAAATAATTTTGTTGTAATCTTAAACGGTTGAGAAGGAGATGCGCACACAAGAAAAACAGTGTTTGTGGAGATAACTCTTATAATAAAAAGTGTTCGGCTAAACAGGGTAGGTTTTAAAATTGCAATAACTGTTCAATATCATATGCATAAAATGTAAGCGACATCTTGTGAAACCACAAAGCACCGTAAGAAAAAAATGTGGCGGAAGAAGAAAAAAAAAATAATTTAAAACAAATTGTTCAGAGAACAATTGAAGGTCTTTCCACCTGTAAAGATCTATAGATATGAAAATAGTAAAATTCGGTTTAAAATGTCATTTCCAGCGTCAAATGATAGCTTATTGTACGATGATTTCAAAAGTATAAGGTTTCTATACAATTTTTTTTTTTAATAAGGGAGATATTTTTTTACTTCCGGTTTGAGAAATGTTACTTCCGGTAATATTTAATGTTTACTTGACACTGATTCCAAAAATATATGGTTCTATAAACATTTATATTAAATAAGGACCAAAAAATAGCTACTTCCGGTTTACACAAGGTCACTTCCGGTTGGCTTTTCCAAGGTTAAATGGCTTGCAACCTAATGCAAAAGTCCCATGGCTTTATCATGAATACATATGAGGTAAAAGCAAAGGTCAAAATCTAGAACGTCAAATTTACCTATGCCCTTGAGCTCAATTTCAAGGTCATTAACCAAGGATCTCAAATCAAAAGACCCTAGGTCTTAATTATATTTGGTTAATGAGTTATATCACCATACGCATATTTTTAAATACAAGAGGAGAGAAAACTCTAATTTAATGTTAGCGTAACCTTTAGTCCAATATGTATGTGTTACGACATGTCGCAACTAACAATTAAGTAAAAATATGTTGTCGATATCTTATATGTTGTTTGAAAAGAGGTGAAAATAAGCCAAAATCCAAATTTAGAAATGACCTTGACCTTTGACCTTGACAATATTTTCCTTTTTTTGGGCCCAAAGACCTCAAATCAAAAGACCCTAGGTCTATATCACTTATGGTTTACTAGTTACAATTACATGTTACTTATTTAAAATGCAGAAGGGGAAATAACTCTCATATGGAGTTTCCGGACCGCTTCGGTCAAATTATTTTTAAGATCCTAAGGATATAATGAGGAAATTGGTAAAATAATTTTGTCATAATCTTTAACGGTTGCGAAGGAGATGCGCACACAAGACAAACAGTGTTTGGGGGATAAATAAACAATAAAAAGTGTTCGGCTAAACAGGGTCAGTTTCAAAATCGCAATAACTGTTCGATACCATATGCAAAAAGGCTAAGCGACATCTTGCGAAACCACAAAGCACCATAAGAAAAAAATGTTGCGGAAGAAGAAAAAAATAATAATAATAATCAGAACAAAATCAATAGGCCTTTCCACAGAAAAGTGGAAAGACCTAATAATCAGAACAAAATCAATAGGTCTTTCCACAGACAAGTGGAAAGACCTAATAATAAATCCACAGTATCACAATTTCTTGTTATCCATGATCAGTCACAGAGAAAAATAGGATTGATAGTATTCCTATCTTAGAGCTTGATAGAAAATTTCATATTAAATATATTTGTACAAAATAAGATCCCTTATGTCTTTAACCACAACACCCGGTTATTTGATTCCGCCATTTTTAAAGTTTAAATCACATTAAATGCATTTTTCTAATTTATCAATGATCTTGAGTTAAAAAACATTAGAAGTAGTTTTATTTTTTTTCTAAATGTTTTGTATCAAGACTGTAAGCATCACTAGCAATGAGTCGTTCATAAATCGTAATGTACAAGACAAGACAATATTTTATTTAAGTCTCACCACTTCATTTATAATACATACATATAGTTAATAAATCATAATCATAAAACATACAAGAGCCACTCTTAAAAGATTTATGAGAGACTATTTTGAATGTATATACGTTATGTACACTTAAATTAGCAATATAAAATACATCTTCTTTTCAATAAAATGTTATATCAGATTTTTATCAGAATAAAAGTATTTATTTTCATCTGTGAATAAAATTATAAATTTATCGTCATCAGACAAATGCTTAAAATTAACATTACATAGAGATTCTTGATAAAACAAAAAACAACGCAAATCTTCATACACTGGAAATTCATTAATACATGTTTTTCATCTTCAATTAAAAGATATTCATTAAAAGTGTTGTTAAAACAAATTCTATTTTCAACTAAAAGACCTTCATACCTTCCATGCTCAATTTTCAAAGGAGTAGTACCACTTCTAAATTTCGCAAATGCACTCCTACATTTTTCAGGTAAGAGGCAAGATGTAAAACTAATTCAAATCGTTAAAGTTTTTTTTTTTTAATTCTAAAATGGTCATTATGGAAATTCAGAAGATTTATTATACTGATAGTAGAAGCTGTTAACAATCTTGACAATTGAACAAAGATCCCTTATAAAATTTTTTTAAAGCTAGCTGATCTCAGGAATATATTCTATTTTGTATATATACCTGATTGTGCCAACAGTGATACATTAAAAAAATATTCACACATGAACATTGAACCAGAAATGTGATTATTGTCTTTCCATTCTTTGTGATACTTTCATGTGTTCATTGCCATTTCATGTTTTGTATTGATTCTATTTTCTACAACAAATTTATGGAAAAGGCATTTTTTTCAATATGATATTTTTAAACATTTATATTTATTGTTTTATATGATTTTTATAATAGTGACTCAGTAGGTTATCAGTTTATTTTTTTATGATGACATTCCTTTCAGTAGTAATATATTCATAATACTGATAAATTCACTGTGATACAATTTTAATATGACTAATTCTACATTCCCTCCTATTTCTATATGACATATTTTTTTTCACTTTTTCAGCATGTATTCATTTGTATTTTTGTGAATCCATTTTTTTTAAATTAAAAATTATGAAATAGTGAAGGAAAATCACTCCTTATATAATGAATGCTAGTTTTTATTATAAATGTGAAACCTGAATTTTTGGCATTAATAAAAACCTCACAATAATTTGTGAATTCACAGTTATATGGTTTGGATTTCAGACAGATGCATTTAATAGCAAGCTGTACAACATTTTGAAATGTTTTACTTCATCAAAAAAAAAGAATAGTACCAATATACATGTACAGTAAAAAATGGTTACTCTTTCCAGTTATCCTCAAATTTTGAAAAAATCGTATGTCAATCAATGTGTATCACCTCTAAATCTCTTTTGATTAGCAATTGGTACAATCAGTCAAATACACACTATAGGTCTTTTTGCATTGATTATATGTTGGTTTTTTTTACTCAACTTATTGATTGTTTTTTACATTTTATACATACGCACAACTATACCGTTATTTATGACTTTTATTCATTTTCATAAATGACATTCCACAATTTTTATTGTGATAGATCTTGTTGCTATTTCTTGTTATTTTGACATTCTTCTATTAACGTTCATATCAACTTTTTGTATAAATTATTTTTAGAATATATTTTATTAATCATACATTGCTCAGATTTGTTTAACACATGATCCGTCCATTTTTTAATAAAATGTAGTAAGAAATATGAGTCTTCAATCATATCTGCATGTGAATTCAACACAGTACCACTTTCGTCATTGTTTTTGTCATGCTTGCCTGAATGTCACAGAATTTGAGATAAGGATGCTAATCTGGCGGCAATGTTAGCCATTTGTATAAAGCTTTATATTTCAGAAAAGTTTGTCTGAATTTTTTTTCTTTCATATGTCTTTCTTCTTGAACTCTTTTTCCTGGTTGAATGACCTTTTTATCACATGATTTTTTTCAGTAATTATGAGTTAAAGGACATATTTGGTACATGTTTATATATATTCATTGCAAGGTGTACATTTCCTTCAATAGGGGTTCATCTAAACTTATTCTAATTTAATGGTTCAATGATCAAGATTAATTTTGTGATGAGGTTTCAGATACTTAAAGCAATGTAATGACTATACACATCAGACCTGCAGGGTCTGAACTTGACATCGTTGTAATGGTTCATTGGTCAACATGATAAGGTCCATTTCTCAATTACTTTCAGCAATAGATTAATTACATTTGGTGTATAGAATATTTATAAGGATGTCTGACCGTCTGGCAGGGTTCGTCTGACATTGACCTCATTTTCATGGTTCAGTGATTATTAAAATTTGTTATTAGGTCCTTTTCTGAGATAATTTTAGCAATAGATCTATTATATTAGGTGAAAAACTGATTGTAAGGTGTAAATTTCCACCTGACGGGGTTCACCTGACCTTATCCTCATTTTCATGTTTCATTGTCAAAAGTTTTTGTGATATTATAATAGGTCCACTACTAGTATATTTGATGGATAGACTGTAAGTTGTAGATTTCAACCTAACAGGGTTCATTTGACCTCATTCTTGATAAGATCTGATTGTAGGTCATTTATTATCTCAGAACTGATTTCAAACATTAAAATGTGTCTCCTGCTTTAACGATTGTGATTCAATTTAATGTTGAATTTCTTTTAGTATAAGGCCTTACTACATGCACCGCCTCGGTGATTTCGTGGTAGCGTGTTCGCTTCGAATGCGGGAGGTCGTGGGTTTCGAACCCATGCCGGGTCAAACCAAAGACTTTAAAATTCGTATTTGCTGCTTCTCCGCTAAGCACGCGGCATTAAGGAGTAAGAACAAAGACTGGTCAGCTCGGAGTCAGAATAATGTGTCCGGGTAAGGTGATGTGTCTTCCTGCGGACTGTTACCTTGTGAACTAGCACGTTAAAAATCCGGCTCAGCGAGTTGGTGTAGTACAAAGCAGGGTTGATATTCATATTACATTAACATGTTCTCGTCATGAATATGCATATTAATTTGTCGCTGGACGTTAAGCAGCCATCCATCACCATCATCCTAATATAAGTATTACATATATGAGTAGGTACAATAAGAGCCATTATTTGGCCCCTGTAATTCCAAAAATACTGTATCTGACTTTTTGAACCATGAAAATGATGTCAGATAAGACAGATTTATACACCAAACAAAATAATATAATCATTGTATACACCAAATATAGTTACCCTATTGATTAAAGTATCTAAGAAATGGACTTAACCATATTACATTACACTGACTTTTGAAATATACAATGAGGACAAGGTCACAAGAATCTGTCAGAACGACATATACACCATACAATCGTTTCATACACCAATTAAAGTCCTTACCCACCTTACCATGACAACTTAACATTGACCAATGAACCATAATAATTAGGTCACAGTCAGATGAACCCTGTTGGACAGATTTTTACACCTTACAATCATTCCATAGACAAAATATCGTTTTTTTTAAATTATAGTATTTGAGAAATGGACTATAAGATGACTAATGAACCATGAAAATGAGGGCATTGTCAGATGAAACCAGCCAGACAGACATGTACACCTTGCAATCATTCTATACAGCAAATATAGTCGACCTACTTATTTTAATATCTTTGATAGGGACTTGACCCCCACAACTTATCCATGGTCACTGATTTATGGAGTGATGTCGAGATCAGGTGAACTTTGTCTGATAGACGTGTCGACTGTGCAAGGATACCGTATACCAACTATAGGTATCCTATTACTCATAATAAGTGAGTATTTCACAAGACAAAACAATTACATTTTTTTCAACGAGTCGCTGAACCATGAAAATGAGGTCAAGAACAATGGACATATGCCAGACAGAAACTTCGTAATATAAGGTATCTGCATACAATTTATGAAGCATCTAGGTCTTCTAACTTCTGAAATATAAAGCTTTATACAAATAGTTTATGCTGGGGCCGCCTTCATAAGATTGTAATCCCCATCTCGCATTCTGCGACATAACTTTTGTCCCAAACTAGACATGAAAAAGTACATAAGTTAAAATGATTTAATTTCACTTTTAAATACATGTACCTTAAATATGCCTGTCGATATTTGTAGGTTAACATCAAATTCATAGGTGCAACACTATTTGATTTTTCTTTTCTTTTTTCTTTATTTGAACTCTGGACATTGCTTAAGTTCAGGTCTTCCTTAACTTTTCTAAAATTACTGAATGAAATCTACTCCAAAGGATAGCCATAGATATTACAGTATTGGACAGCATGATTTCATTAACAGTAGGCCAAGCACCAGGAGCCATCAGTGTTGGACAGCATGATTTCATTATCAGAAGGCCAAGCACGTCATAGATATTACAGTGTTGGACAGCATGATTTCATTATCAGAAGGCAAAGCACTAGGAGCCATCTTTCAGTTAACTGGGAGAATTCTTTAAAAGGGTTTCTTTAAAGTAGTGCATTTCTTATTTTTATCTCTACATTATTGACAGTTATGGCCTTTTGTTGTACTGACTGTTTGTGTTCTATTTGGTGTTTTGTAATTCCATTAGGTGACGGATTTTTAATTTGTTGGTTTACAGATCCATCAACCTGATTTTTGCTATATCATATATTGCAAGAAAAATGTTCATCTATTTGGATATGAAAAGGTGATTACTTGAGAGAAAAGGACGAAACTGGTATCACCGATCCGAAAATATACTGAATATTCTGTCTTTCCCATTAGACTGGTCTATTTTCGTCTATGACAATGACATACAACGGATTCATTTATTTTCGTGGTTACCAAATTTTCAGTGATTATAGAAAAATTGTATTTTCCTGGATATTTGATTTTGTGGCTTTACAAATGCATACAAGCCTTTAGAATATTTGTACTTCCTTGAACATTTAAATTCGTTATTCACCAGTTCCCAAGAAATCCATGAAAATAGCTATCCTACGAATAATAATGATTCCACAGTATATATTTGAAATAGCTGATCCAAAATGTTTCAAACTAAAATTTAATAGAATGATGTACAAATGTCATCTGACAAGTTTATATACACAGTAAAGTTATATAAAAGTAAGGAGATGTAGTATGTTCGCCATGAGAAAACTCTCCATCAAAGTCCGAATGACGTTGATGTAAGCAAAGAGGGACGAAAGATACCAGAGGGCAGTCAAACTCACAGATCGAAAACAAACTGACAACGCCATGGCCAAAAATAAAAAGACAAACAGACAAATAATAGTACAGATGACACAACATAGAAAACTAAAGACTAAGCAACACGAACCCCACCAAAAACTGGGGGTGATCTCAGGTGCTCCGGAAGGGTAAGCAGATCCTGCTCCACATTTATGTCTTTCAAGGTTTGTTTTTTTTTACCAACTGCCCATAACTTTCACATTAAAAATCTATAAACCAACAAATTAAAATAATAAACTTGACAAAAAGAGATATCTTGCTTGTCGGCATAAAATTCAGAAAAAAAAACAATCTGACAGCAACATTGCTAATTAATTCAAAGTCACTGGATTATGAACTAGTGGCCAGAGCCTCGAAATGGGTGACAAACTGAGATGTACAGACAACAATATAACTTTATACAAAACATTGTTGTCTATTGTTAGTAGTTCCTATCAAACTAACTTAAGCAGGAAACTTAACATTGAAAATTGTTGCTTAATTGAAAGTCGCTGGACTATGCCCCAGGGGGCAAGGCCGTGAAAAAGTCGTCAAACTGGTATGTACTGATGGAAATGCAACTTTATAGAAACTATCATTGATCTATCACAAGTAGTTCATATCAAACTGATTTAAGCAGAAAACTTTACATTGAAAAATGCTTATTTATTCAAAGTCTCTGGACCATGACCTAGGGGGCAGGGTGTCTAAATAGTCGGCAAACTGACATGTGCTGATAGTAATGCAACTTCATACAAACTATTATTGATATATCACAGGTAGTTCCTATCAAACTTACTTAAGCAGAAAACTTAACATTTAAAATTGCTAATAAGTTCAAAGTCGCTGGACCATGGCATAGGGGCAACGCCTCAAAATAGTCGTCAAACTGACATGTGCTTATAGCTATATATATAGTAATGCAACATCATACAAAATATCATTGATCTATCACAAGTAGTTTTTATCAAACTAACTTAAGCTGAATACT